AGGCGGTAAATCTCTTATCGTTTATTGCCAACAAACCGAAATCATTAGGATTTATACGATTCAATCGTAATCCCGGTTCGTAAAAAAGCCATAAACCTCCCGAGCGCAAATGGTATTTACAGGAAAAGTTGGAATGAATATTATGTAATTCATGACATGACTAGAAAACGTGGAATTTCGTTCTAGGTACATGAGTAGTACGACTAAGTTAAACCGAGTCTAAGCGCCTGGATAAAACTGGTTTAAGATGTTGTATTAAATATTTGCCATACCACATAGCTTATTCGTAGCGATACTACATCAATACTAATTATAATAAAAATTATAAAGCTAAAGAGTTTTTTTGTTTGAACGCGCTAAAATAAAAACTACGGTTTTGAATTGAAAATCTTTGTGTTGGATAGACCGATTATCGAGGAAGGCTTTAGGCTATAAATTATCAGGCTGCGACCAAAAGAAACGAAACATAGGGAAATGTTTTATATTTGAGAAAACGGTTCTATCAAAAAATATATACGAATGAAAGATTGTTGTTATAATTATCAAAAAAACCTCTCATAATAACTATTCCACGCGGACGATGTCGCGGGTACACAGCTAGTAAGATATATACAGAGATATACTTTTGTGGATACAAATGATACATTTGAAGAGTTTCTTTGATATTTAAAGAGAACAGATATTCGAAAACTTTATTATTTTTTACATGTTATTGCACATAAAGGCACTATACAATTTAAAAATCGAAAATAAATTGAAAAAATGTTTTTTCTACCTCTGCTTGTAGGACTCGGTAGCTCAATTGGTAGAGCAACAGCGCGGAACGCTGACGATGCCGGTTCAAGTCCTGCCCGAGTAGAAAAAAAAATTCAATTTATTTTCGATTTTTAAATTGAGAACAGATAATATGTTGCGCTCCATGAGGGCGCATGCATGGTTCACTTGGTAAAATACTCCAGCCAACCCTGTGGAAATCGAACTTCCGACATTGCTACTATTACACCAACCAGCCCGTCAAAATAAATTTAAATAGCTAAATACGGGTAGTTTCGCATTATTTTGCTGACTACCGTCCTAGCAAACGGATTAAATGATACTCTGAGATTGAAGTCTTGTTAACCATTTATAAGAGTATTAAAACCGAGTAATAAGCTTGTTTTGCTTATAAGAAACCCCATCAGCTCTTTATCTCGAAAGGCAAGGGACCGCTGACCCCGCGATGAGTTACGAGTGCTTCTGTATAATTTAATTATCCTCGGAACCTTCCTAAACGGATTGTGACGTCACACTTTAATCTAATATGCATTTGAACTAAAATTCTATCATTTTTATTAACAAAAACGCAATTGCAACCCTAATTAACAAAATTCCTTTGATACTGTCTATAGTTTACGCGAGTAGTACACATTTAAATAAAAGACTTCAACAATTTAAAACGCGATATATTAGTTAAACTTATCTGAAAATGATTTTTAACTTCGGCCCAACGTTTCGAATCCTTGCAGCCGTGGTCACGGGGAGACTAAAGATTGGGGATGTCTCTGACGTGAAAGTAAAGCTAGCGTAGCAATTTTTTTCAAATAAGTTTAACTAATTCGCGCATTTTAAACCGTTAAAGTGTTTAATTAAAAAAATCATGTGGTATTAAAACACATATCCTGTTCGATACTTTATAACTTTTTGTTGCACCTTTAATACCTAGTCTTCTTCGTAACCTCTAATTTTGGCATTGACATTATAAAAAAATATAAGTTCTAAAACCTGTTTTGCAAAAATATTTTGTTTTTCAACTGATTATGTATCTATTGGCATTCTCGTTAAAGTTTATATTTGAATGAACTACATAAGATCTTCAAGACCATGCAATTTAATACAATAATTATTGTTTTACGGCCCTAGTGCCTAGTAGTAGTCCCTAGGCCCTAGTTTTACGGCCCTAGTGATTTGAACGATCTGCCAGCTAGGATCGCTCCGATCCTAGCTGGCAGATCGTTCGATTCGTTGGTCAGAATTGTAATGGCTGTTCTTTTTTCTTGCTACCCGTGAGGAGTAAGCATAGATCAGTAGTTAGCTTTTATAAAAGTAAAAAAGGGCGAGGTTTTACTGCAACCAAAGCGCCAAATTGACTTTTCGAGAGATGTCATATGAATACTATCCATCTAACGATTTATGAGCGGCATTTTTGTGCTTTGTATTTAATCTATACTAATATTGTAAAGCTGCAGTGTTTGAACGAGCTAATAATTTATAAACATGCGGTTTAAAAAAACTAATTTTGATGACCAAAATTACTTTTCTATGCGGACGATGTCGCTGGCACAGCGAATAACTAAATAAAAGACCTCAGCTATTGGTTTCCTAATGGAATTTTTCAATAATAAAAGCAAAGCGGGCTTAGTCATTTTTAAACCGGTGTTGACATTGATGGATTCATCTTCGATCACTTGGTGCTGCACGTGGCTTGAAAAACAGAAAGCTTTAAATATAAAGTGAATAAATATGGAAATAATAAGCTTTTAACATTTTGTTTTATTATAAAGAAGGGCAGCCAAGCAAGGGGTTTTGATGGTAGGCGATATACCCCAGTTTATGGCATCTAAGCAAGATCCGCTATCGACCTATTTTGGCTTTGGATATTCGGAAATCCACGAACTGAAACCGAAACGCGATAAGCTTCGCGGCTTTTCCATCTGTGGACGGTGGTTCGCAACCCGGACGGAATTTCTGTATTCCTACCACCCATATCCAGATTTCTAGACAAAGTCGAAAATGTTTCAGAAAAATTATAAATTAAAAATATGTTGGACCTGCTCGGGATGGAATGACCCGTTGATTTTTAGCCATACATTGCTACCATTAAAATAGCGAGCCTGCCGAATTGTCGTATTGGCAAAATACCTATATATTATAAGCAATAATATAGTGTCGACAATTCCATTGTGTATGTATTAAAATAAAACACTTTAACGGTTTAAAACGCGATATATATAAAATAACTTAGAACGGAGAGAGGTCTCCCCGTGACCGTGACGTAAAAATAATTTTCAAATAAGTTGAACTAATATATATCGCGGTTACAACCATTCGTGTTTTATTTAAATGTTTAGGTACTACTCGCGTAAACTACAGAGGGTATACTAATTTCATACATAGCAATTCCAATAACAATAATAAATAAAACATAATAATTACGTGTTCTAGAAGCCATTAAACAAGTCACGTGGTCAGATGACAAATGTCATGCTATGCAGATATAAATCTATTAGTGCAATTAATTTATTCTTAGGTATCATGAAACCTATGCGTGTTTATCGGCTTTATTGTTTTAATAGTCTTAAGGCGTAGAAAATAACAAAGCTTACATCACCTTTGAGATGATTTTGCAAGGACAATGGATTCAGTTGTCAGGTGACTCATTCATATTGTACAATGAATATTAATGATTACATTTAAAGCAATTGATTCTCAGGTATCAGGATAGATGATTAGAATTAACACGTACTTTATTTTAAGTATGGCGCACGTTGGCGTCATTGTGACTGTATTATGATTCGCTTATACAAAAAACGTGACATGAGATTATTTAAAACTACCCGCGTGTTAAGTTAAATAATTTACTTAAATAGTAGTACGTTTCTCACGTATGCATTTATTTCATACTAGCTGTGCCTCCTACTTTGTCCGCGTGGAATAGTGACTTTTAGGTAGATTTTTTTATTATTTAGGCTGTTTATTTATTTATTAAATGGCGCATTTAGGGCAGCCAATCTGCGTGGTAAGTGCTACTTTGCCACAACACTCCCAATCTCACCGTATATCACTCCTACTCTCACTCCCATTCCCTAAAAGCCAAAAAAAGGCCAAGCCATCAAAAATTACGAATTTCCATACAAACTTTTATTCCGGTTTTCAACCCCTAACTACCTTTTTCAGCACTAAGCCTATGTCCTTTCCCAGGCTCTAGAATATCTGTGTACCAAATTTCATTCAAACCAGTTGTGTAGTTTCGGCTTTCAAGCCGGACAGACAGACAGAGTTACTTTCGCATATATAGTATTAGTATAGATTAAAATAATCAATATGTAATTGGAAATAAATGCCTTTGAATCGATTTATGTTTGTAAACAGATTTATATTTGACGAATATCTAGATAAAGAATAACCCTATCATATTCAATTTCCTATTATAAGTACAATATATTATTTTTTCGCATCGGTTTGTCCTTTAACTGACTTCCTGCATTGTTTTTTTTTTAATTTTTATCTACTAAGTGCATAATTAATCATTCGTTTGTTTTCTTCTTAACTTTTGATTAAACAATCTATTTCACACAAATCTACAGTTCTTAATAGAGGTTCTATTTTGCCCAACTAATGATAAAGACGCAATTCTATGCAGTCAAATAAGACACGTGCGTCGTCATATATTGACTTAATTTTAATATGATTTTGCTCAATTAAAATTGTATATAAATCTTTATTCTTTACCACATCGGAAAAGCTAGTACACCTACTATATTATAGCTATAGCGTCCACGTGCAAGTATTACTGAGAGAGTAAATTATGTGATTGAAGCATTAATTACTAAATAGTTTAGTACTTTTTAAATCTTTAACAAAATATTTAGTAATCAATATCTTATTGCAATAAACGCTAATCTAACTTATTAAATTAAGTATGCTAATGACAAAATAGTTAACTACCTTCCGACATGATGGATGTTGTTCAACAGTTTACGTTCATGGGAGATGTAAAAAAATTCGTTAACCAATACAAGTTTAGATTTAAATTATATAAATGCGTTATCGTGGCTATTATCCAAAGCTACTTGGGTATTCCTGTTCGGCTGTCGTAATTAAGAAATGCTTCTCGATGTTTCACAATTCGATGACACCATCAGGTGATGTTTCACCTACGTCTTCGCTTTATCGAAGCTTCAGCTCGAAAGTTCAAATAGCGCTAAAAATGTTTATTCAAATTTATGTTTTTCAACTTACAGGTAGTTTTGGTGTTCATTCTAAGCATAGCATCGCTCATCATCTACTTCATTGACGCGTCCAGGTAATAAACGTTTTCTTTGTATTCCCTTTGAATTTTCTCTACTAGTAGCCATATTAATTCGTACATATCTTAATAATGCTGATTACATAAGGAATACGTGAGTTAAAGCCAATAAATGTGTTCCTCGTAACATTTGCTGTATAGATCTGGGACCCAATTCTGCTATTTACAATAACCCATCGCTAGCATGGCTTTACCGTTTGGTATTCTACTTAGACAATGGCTTATTACTGTTGCGACATTGTATAATACGAGCGATTGACGTTCTGTAGAATATCCTCGATGGCATCTCACTGGCATGTCACTTGTTTGTGAATTAGCAGAATCGGGATCCTGTGCTTTTGTATATGTCAGCTGATATTGTTAGATGCCTTGATCGTTCGATGTGTACTTACTAATGTAGAAAGAATTCTATGATGATTTTTCCTTTCAGTGAGGAGGTGGAGCGATGTCAGAAATGGAGTGACAATATTACTCAACAAATTGACCTTGCCTTTAACATATTTTTTATGGTCTACTTTTTTATACGAGTAAGTAACGTAAATATCAATCTATTGCTTTTCAATTTCTACTTTTTTGACATAAGAAATTTGTAATCGGCAATAATCAAATGTGTTATTTTTCAATCTACTTCGGCTGCCTAAATTACTTTCACTGGGATACTTTTAATTTTGTCCTAACGATATATTTAATAATTATTTGATTCTATCTCTGTTTCAGTTTATAGCAGCTAGTGACAAACTATGGTTCATGCTCGAGATGTATTCATTTGTAGATTATTTCACGATACCCCCATCATTTGTATCAATATACCTGGATAGAACATGGATAGGTAAGTTTGACATTTAACAATTGTTGGAAAGCATTGAGTTGACTTAATTGAAAAACAAGAGAAACTTATCCATTTTTGGGTCCGTTTCAAGCAAAGTATACTTTACCTGTTTAAACTCTTGGTTTCAGGGGCCATCAAAGCCGCGCTAACTTTTATTCATTCCTTTATTGTTAGATCACAATTGTTTTGCCTATGCTTTTCTTAGTCGTCGTTCCGGACTATAATGTTTACGAAAAGCTTTATGAGTGGTTTATCTTTTTCCCAATGGACACTGTTCTATAGTTTATTTCTTCTCCTTAATTTGACTACCATATTCTTTTAGTGTTCTGTATATTAGTTGTGTTTTTTAATACTAGTATTCTTCTGGTTGCAGGGCTAAGGTTTCTCCGAGCTCTACGCTTAATGACGGTGCCTGATATTTTGCAGTACCTCAATATATTAAAGACATCAAGCTCAATTCGATTGGCGCAATTAGTGTCTATATTTATATCAGTGTGGCTCACAGCGGCTGGTATTATTCATTTGGTGAGTTACCTTTACGTACCGCCACATACAATTTTATGTTAATTTTTGCGGGCAACTTGGTTCAGTAATACCAATTTTCGAATAATTACTAATGGGTCGTGGGTTCACTTTCGTCTGAATGAATATACTAAAACCGGTTATAAATTTAGTAAAAGTAATAGTAACTTCCGGTTCACGGAACACTTTCCACAGATAGAAAAGGCTGGCAATATACATTTGCTTGCCTTACAGTAATATTTTTTTATAATAATTTAAATATAGCGATATGGATAGCGCGTCATAATTAGTTGTTATATGGCAAGAATATTTAGCTTACATTAAATGAATCCCCAGCTTGTCTGTCCTCTAATCGTAGAAAAAAAACTTCGATATAATATTACCCACTTATATCCCAGCGTAAAACAAACCTTAGTTGTAGTTATATATCGTAAATATTGCATTAAGTAATGGTTTAGCTAACAAGTTAAATAAATATTTCCCTAGCAAGTTGTTTACATTCATTGTTTACGTTTGAATTATGTCTCTGAAGAGAGTACATAATACAAAGACTGCTGTTAATCATCATAGAGGGCAATTTGAAACAAAGATTTTTTTAAACGAATTTCTGGTTCGCCGCAAACTTTTATTTTTGAGCCAAAATAATATATAGATATAGTGAAACTGTAGAAATCAATTCATTAACTTTATTCTGTGTTTTTTTTTATTATTTTAACAATCTTAAGTTACTTATTCACTTATAATAAGATTACCTTTGGCATGATGCCCAATTCAAATAGGTATGCATGCTCTTGAATACATTTGATTAAACATTGTTACCATTTATATAATTTGTTTCAGTTGGAAAACTCTGGTGATCCACTAGAATTCGAGAATGCGCAATCACTACCATATTGGACTTGTGTATACTTTCTCATAGTCACAATGTCCACAGTAGGTTACGGTGACGTGTTCTGTCATACAGTACTTGGCAGAACGTTTTTGGTTTTTTTTCTCCTCGTCGGCTTGGTAAGTTTCATTCTTATTTGTCTATTTGATAGCTATAAGTACTTATTAATATAAATTACCTGGATATTAAGATTGACTTTGCAAGGAGCCGCAAGTATCGAAGTAATGTTGTATTTGGATGAAGAAATGTAATGTAATCTCGCTTGCTATTCCTTGCGTAAGCTATACAATAACAAAGCAAAAGAAAAGACAAATACATTAAAGTGTTATCATAAGGGACTTGGTAGACATCAGTTACGTTTAACGCACAGCTCGTTCGACATAAGCCTGAATGCACTTAGAGCATGAAATTAATTTTGTATCGAGGGCCGAACACACGAGCCACTCGACTATTAAACAGACCTTTTAAAACCTTCTAGGATTTCGCGGTTATTTAACGTTCACGCTATTTGCAAGGTTTTTTCCAATATTTAGTGGCCATTGTTTCTTGCTACTTCGAGTTTTCGAATTTCTCGAGATAGCGGAAATGAGCTAACGAAATAGTGGCCAGGACCTTGTGATTAGCGAGAATTCTAACTGCCTTCGTGACTTCATCCAGAGCTTCATGTGATAACTTGCATGAGTGTTATTTTTCTTTTGCTTTGTTGAACCACGAATGTGCTTCCGGACATTCAAGCTTAATGGAGTGTTGAGGCCCAAGGCCGCATGCGGTCCGTGCATACGGGCCCCGGGCCTCCAGTGATCAGGGGCTCCAGCAGTCGCAGTGGATCGGGCCGCGATCGGCCGGCACCCGCGCGCCGCGTCCCTCCCCTCCCACCTCGCGATCTCTGCATGCGCACCTGTGCCTGGCTGTGTTCAGTTGCTCACATCACCGGTAGACAACACAATCCTTTTTGTTTTATTTTCGCTCCGCTACCGGCTACACTTTACTGTATCATCTAGTTTTATCGAGACTCGAGGACGTTGTCGTGCACCACACGATGGTGTCCGCGCGCAGACTCCCCCCATGACACCAGATCGACACCATGGTCTGTTGCAGGCAATGTTCGCTAGTAGTATTCCTGAAATTATAGAGCTGGTAGGAAGTAGGTCCAAGTACAGTGGCGAGCTGAAGCGTGAACATGGAAAAAGGTATCTGTTTAATGTTTAGATTGAGACGAGAGGAAGCGACTCACTCGTCCCGCGATGCCGTGCGGCGTTTTGATTCGCTCCATCTCTATGACGATGTGATATCATCAGAAGCTTGCTCAGTGCCGTCAGATGTATTGTGTTATCTACTCGCGCGCACCCGACGACCCCTCGACACCCGCTCGGGCCAATCTTCGTCCTCACCTCATCTGGCCCGCCCACGTGAAGCGAGGGCGAACCCCGCCTCGCGAAGTCGAGACGATCTTCCCGTGCGCGTGTTCTACCATGCGTCTATACCGATCGTCCATTTAGTGCCAAAAATCGGCGTTTAATTATTTTTAAGTTATCATCGATCAGTTAGCGAACGTCCAGCTTTGCATGCACCCGGTCACGAGTCCCTCACGGCTTGTCACGTAGCTCCCGTTAGCGTAGCTCGGCACGGCACCCAAGTCCCGCACCCGTCCACACACGCCACAGCCACACGCAGACAGATGACACTCAAGCCACACAGCCTTGTGCGAGCGCGAGGGTTGACGGCCGCGGGCCGGGCCGGGGGGCGGGCGCGCGGGGTTCTCTCGCTCACCTCACGGTGTTTGCTGTGTATCGTAGGCTGTGTTCGCCAGCTGGATCCCCGAGATCACGGAGCTGGCGGCGCAGCGCAACAAATACGGCGGCCGATACAACAAGGACGTCCGCCGCAGGTACCCTGCTCTCACGCCCCCGCTCCACACGGCTTCCTCTCACGGTTTCGATCTGACTTGGTTGATTGAATGCGGAGTTTGCTAATGAAATTTATTAATAGAAATCGGTCTCTCGGTGCCGTGGCGCATGCTCGACGAGATAGATCCCGGCGGCCGCGCCCCTCTCGCCAGACAGGTGCGCGGTCGACCGACGCACTTAACGCCTAATGAGATACCATTGAGCTTTTTCCTCCTAACGAGACTAGACGGAGAGAGCCGATGTTTTGTGATGCTGTCGATAAAGTAGTGATGTTTGGTTTGTTCGCTTGCACACGATGCCTGTCGCCACGCTGTAGCGCTAGCTCCGGCACCTCGCGAGTCCCGAGATCACACACAGCCAGTGCCCGCGCAACGCCCGCCCCGCGCTCGACCGCCAACCGGCCCGTCCGTCCGCCGGCCAGCCACCCACACGCCCGACGTCCGCCGCGTCACGCGCCTTACCACACTACATACTTGCGCTAAACCTTTAGTCCGTTTACAAATTCTACTGATGCACACTTGCGCCTCTGGTAGGGATCTATCACCGCAGACACCTACAGTTTTTCAAGACGAACTAAATGTTGTATATATGTAAATGTAAATCTACAAATCGTATAGAAATAAATCCACTCTCTCACATACAATGAATAACCTTGTAGAACTGTAGTTATTGCGCCTCCATTCATTATACAGTGATACTACATACAAAGCAGACTAAAAGTTTCGTGCAAGCTACAATGAAGCAGTGATATTGTTTATTCCAAATAATACTATCCATTTATCGACATAGGATAGTGTTTTATTAATAAAAGAATAAGCTTCTTACAAATTCTAGATTCGCTCGCATATTCACACACAATAAATAATAATATTGTAGATTAGGTTCTTATACTAAAGAAAATTTTCTACATGCGCAACATATAGGGTAGGAAATTGAATACGAGTAAGTGAGACACAGAAAACGTTAGGTAACCTTTTTTTTCAAAATTTACATAACTTTCGCAATAACTGGTATAAAAAAAAACCTTCGAGAAATAAAAGATCGGTGTGCGTATGTGGGCCCAAAGGTAAATAACATTTGTAAGAAGTACTGCTTCAATAAATATGTAGTGTGCCCGATGCGAGCCGTCCGCGTCGGCACAAAATGGTCCTTCGAGCCGGCGCGAGCGGCACGCTTCTGCGCATTCTCACCACTCACTCGACTTGAATGTGAATGTCTTGTTTTGTCTGTCGGCGTTTAGGCGATATTTGCCAGTTGTATCCCAGAGATAATTGACTTAATCGGAACTAGACCCAAGTATGGCGGCACCCTCAAGAATGAGCGGGGACGCAGGTGAGCCGCAGTCTTCACTCCGTTCCGTTGAATGTGTTCCGTGTTGTGATATCTATATCTTCCTTTTCCTCTCTTAGCACGCTTCTGTGTTCTCACTTTATCTTAGCGGGGCGCGAGTCCCGCGTGTTGTCTTAAGTCGGTGTTGATTGTAAATTGTACCTTTGAATTAAGTTCAGTTGAATAGAACCAGCAGATAGTGGCTAGTTAAGCTCGTCTATAGGTTAAATGGTTATGTTCTGTTAGTGTACTGTATCTACGTGTAATGAATGTTAATGGTAAAGTTAAAGCTTAGTTGCGGCGAGTTAAATGTTGCGTGGTACAGTAGTGTGTTGTTGGAGTTGTCGTGTGTGCGTCGACAGCTCCCTCAGAGCCGGACCGGCGTCGGGCCGCGCCCGCGGGGGCTGTTGATGTGGACCGCACCGCCCTAGTGAGTGCCATCCGCTCGACTCCTCTCTTCTCCCTACCTGCACGATTAATGTTACTGTATTGTACTCTTGATGTTGACCCTCTAATTCATTATCTACTGTAATGTACATTTTTCGATCCCCCGGTAATTTAGTGTAATTTGATTTCGTAAAAAAATTCATAGAGCGTGGCAAGGCTGTGTGCATTGAGGACATTTAACGCAAACTAGATTAGTTGTCGACTTATCATTCGAAACAAACGAGATCATCTTAGAGTTTTACACTGCCATTCATAGATAATAATTATCAATTTCTTTAAATTATTCTCGTGTTTAATAATAAATATTTGTAGAGATCTATTAAGTTTTATGATGATAATAATAACTTTGCCACACCTTAGAATTTGCATGATGCTTGTCACTTGTGTTTTCACCTTTAATTTCTACTTATCTCTTTTCTTGTGAGCGTTGCTTGACTATGTACCAATATGTAACTCTCCACTTGTTTGTCTCTCACAAACCTCCATCATTGTGAATCACCACTGTCAACTGTCCGCATCCACATTCCCCCCACATTCACTTGCTGTTCCTTACCTTTAACTTATTGAGGAATGTTTCTAATGCATTTTTTGTTTATTTACATTTTTGAGTAAATATTTTAAGAAAAGATATCAACTTCAACGCGTTCCCCGTTTATTTAAATTTAACGTTAAGACGAAATCGACTTCTATAATTCGTGATAAATAACCGTCTTAATAGAAGTTTATTTATTCTAGGACATTCACTTTGAAGTCAAATACAAATACATACAAAATATCTCAATTCATCCGTTAATTCTTATTACATCAGCATTCATAAACTTTTTGTGTGTTGACTTTTTACTGTGGTGTGATACTTTTTTCGGTTATATTATTAAATCGTGATTAATTTTTATTATTTTATTTAGTGTGGTAGAATAGCTACACAATCCTGAACGAAACTGAGATTGTTCATCTTTTTGTGAACTATTATTTGCATTTATTATATTTTTTATATCTAAGCATTAACTCGCTTCAAATATGTCGCAAATTGATGAACAAAGCTGTATAAATATGTAAATTATGGAGGTTCTAAACACTGCCTTTATTTTTTTTATATCAAAATAGATTTTTGGCTATATAATAATAATTATTTACAAATAAAGGCATTGTACATTTTTGTAGAGGTGTTATACATTCACGCTTTATCTGTTTTATTTAACCCTGTTGCGACTTAAATACATGTTATTTTGAATGTCCAGTGTTTTGTCTGTGGTCCCAGGTGTTAAATAAAACTCTAATTGCTATGCTCTATATTCTATCTTAAATGCGACGGCTTTAAAAGATTGCTTTCATAAACAAGAGTAAGTAAAATATAACTTAAAGCTATTAAATTCTGCGTAGTTTCTTTTATAAACTTTTTAAATGATAAATTTTAAATAGTAAACACACAGATATATCTGAGCTCGCTTTCACGGCTTTGTTTGATTCAATGCAATGCAGTAGTTGATGTTTTCGTTTGAAAATGAGTTGGTATTTTAATATTCTTGTACGATTTCAGGCATATAGTTGTGTGTGGACATATAACTTACGAATCGGTGAGCCATTTTTTAAAAGACTTCCTACACGAGGACCGGGAAGATGTGGATGTTGAGGTTGTTTTTTTACACAGGTAAAGATTTTTAGTTATTATCTAGGGATGCGGAATCCGATTACAAATATATCAAGGTTTAAAGATAATAACAATTTTTTTAAAAGCTTTCAAAATTTTAATGGACTTCAAGGTTCTACTCGTACATGTGGTTGAAATAAAACTTGTCATCTTTAAACCTTTTTACTCTATTTAGCTTAATTTATTGTATAAGTTACCCACGCTAAGTAAATCTACTGTAACCGGTAATAAATAAAATGATAAAGTAAATATATGGGGGGTGTAATATGTGTGATGAACTGACGCTTTCAGAAAAGAGCCTGACCTTGAGCTGGAAGGTCTACTGAAGCGTCACTACACCACCGTCGAGTTTTTTCAGGGTACAATGATGAATGCCGTGGACCTTGAGAGAGTCAAGGTTAGAGTAAGAACTAGCGCAGGCATTAGACAGCACGGCCCTCTATCATTGATGCGCGAGGATACAATATTTTTTATTTATGTGCATAAACAGATCTTTTTTCTTCAGTAAAGATGCTGTTTCATAGTCACCGTAGGATTTGGTCACGTTTAATATGATTCTTTTGATGCAATCATTGCTTAATGGGACGGTGGTTTTGTCGGTGCTTTTCAAAGACTTTTTAAGTGTATCAATCGAGTTAAGTATCTCTTCATCGTCAGCACTGGTACCCCCGTCCCATTTCACGACTGCGTATTTTGGTAATATATATAGTTGCATGGTAAAATCGGCCCGCTACAGGCGGCGGACTGGTCTATATTAGTCCGTAGTGATAACTGAGCGTTGATGGCAGGAAACCGCCCGACCTGGAGCTCGAAGGCCTGTTCAAGAGACATTTTACCACAGTGGAATTCTTTCAAGGCACCATTATGAATCCAATCGACCTTCAAAGGGTAAAAGTAAGTAGCACTGCACTCGAAGGTGTCTTTTGGTCGTGGTGTCGGTTTGAGGCAGTCTTTCCTATAGACGTAGTCTCGTTCACTAATCTGTCAGTTAGGATGTTTCGAGTGGTGTACAGTTCCCTTCTAATGCCGTGACTGGCTGTTTGTGCTATCGCTATGTTGTTGACTGTTGAGTGTGGTTGCCCCGCACGATCCCGAGGAGCTTTGTATCCGAGCCGCGCCAGACCTACCTATGTGTCTACTTATACCTAACTGGGTGTTGTATGCGATGCTGACCATATACTAATACACTAAACAATCGATATTGACTTGAGCTGTACAGGTTTTCAAACAGTGCTACCTTATAATGGTTGCCGAAGAAAGGGTTTCTGATAATTGGCTTTGCTTGTAGTAACGTACAGATGTCGATTGTCGATATTGTCGAGTGTTTACGGTAAGTGTTGATGTGCATGGCTTAACGTGGAAATGCATGTAACTTTCATACGCTTTTAATGACTAATGCACTTCCTTATATAATAGTAGTATGTCTGCATGTTATTTCTTTTTGTATCTTATTAGTGGTGCACCTTTTATTCTTAATTTATTTCTTGATATTGAATAATACATTGCTGACATTCAATAAAAATAAAGTTAATCTGTTCTCCTCAAGTTTATTAGGCACGTTGATTTAAATATTTTATAACCTTGTAGGTGCATGAAGCAGATGCGTGTTTGGTGTTAGCAAACAAGTACTGCCAGGATCCTGATGCGGAAGACGCAGCCAACATCATGAGGGTTATCTCCATCAAGAATTACTCCGATGACATCAGGGTTATCATTCAATTGATGCAATACCATAATAAGGTTGATTGAAATATACCTTCTAATATTGTAATGAGAAAATACCTAGATTTGACAATAGTTATTAATACTTCAGCTATATTGTTAATTTAACAATGACAAGAATGTCAAGTTTAAAATAACTTTAGAGAAAGGTTCTAAACATTATACATTTGTGAGACAAATGTGGATTCAAAAATGTATTTATAATTGACGTTTTGTAATTTACCTAATGAAAATTCTAATTGATCTTTTTTATTTTTTTCTTTTGTAGGCCTACCTATTAAACATTCCATCCTGGGATTGGAAGCAAGGTGACGACGTGATATGTCTTGCAGAGCTAAAGCTGGGTTTCATAGCACAGAGCTGTTTAGCACCAGGGTTCTCTACCATGATGGCTAATCTGTTTGCCATGAGAAGTTTCAAAACGGTCAGTTTCGCTAAAAGAAAATTGTATAACGTATGTGAAGAGAACATACAAGTTACTGTATTCGCTCTAGTTCTTCACTAACCTGGTGGCTATACGTATACCACATACCATTTTTGCCCCTATTTAAATATTTTAAAACTCAAAAATTCTATACTTCGTAAAAAGGGTTAGTAAAACATATTTATGCCGAATTTTCACAGTCAAAACAAATGGTAAGATGGAGAAATGACTATCTAAGAGGTACTGGTATGGAGATGTACAAGGAAACGTTCAGTCCAGCTTTTGTGGGATTATACTTCAAATACGCTGCAGAGTAAGTGCGTGGTTGAGTAACCCGCAAATAACGTCATTGTAAATCGTCATTCGCTTGACGTTTCTAACGGCTTGACACTCTAGAATAGGAATTTCTTTAGTACGGCACTTCCCGATATAATCGTACTATTACTAACAATACGGCCAGTATTCACTTTGCGATGAAGACGGATAGAAACTCTGTGTGATCCAGTTTTGTATAATTTGTCAATTGGCTATTTGACTGATAACAAAAAAAAGACTACTTCTTATAAAAATTAATTAAATTTAGTTTTTGACGTAACATTATTTCAAAGCTTTATCTGTGGACACAAAAATCGAACCACAGACTGTCGATAATATAATTATCGCATGACGTCATATTCCTAGTACAGTTAAAATATTTCACGTGATCGGACGTTTTCGCAGGAATTTCAAATTCTTTTTACACGATGAAAGAAAATGTTCTAACATTTATTAAGTATTACCCATAGTTAACGCAAGTTGTACACTTTAAATAGATTTAATTTTTAACGGCTTAACAAGAGCATATTTTTCCTTCTTTGTTACACAACTAAACCGAAACTAGTCGAAATGTTGGGTCGGTTTTAAACTGTGTAAATGATTATTGAAGAAAATTTCAAATAGCCAATTGTGAATACTGGTATTAGAAGTCCAAGCATCGACGCGATATAACCAGCACGTGCTTCAAATAGTATTGGTCTATTACAGTCACCAGATACGCAGGCTTGGCAGAATGATTACTTGCAAGGAACTGGCTGCGAGATGTACACAGAGAGCCTGTCCACCTCCTTCACGGGAATGACATTTGCCCAAGCAAGCGAGTAAGCACCACACTTCATGTTTACTTTAACTTTTAACTTTACCCGTTTCATTGGAGCATGTTTCATTTCAAATACTAATTATCAGTCTTCATATTTCAAGGTTACCTATCACTTTTACAACAAATAGATTAATTTTGCTAACAAAATAGATTCTTAGTGGCCAGTTTTCAATTCCAAAAGCAAACACTAAGATCTCATCTTGAAAATTTGCTTACACTATTTTACAAGATAATATTTCACGGCAGCAAAAAGGCCATATAATTTACCAGAATGTTTTACTAGTCGTTGAATTATTCAGGTTATGCTTTACAAAGCTGAAGCTACTTCTACTGGCCATCGAAATAAAAGGCGAAGAAGGCGCGGACAGTAAGATATCAATCAATCCGAGGAACGCGAAAATTCATGCCAACACGCAAGGGTTTTTCATAGCTCAATCCGCGGATGAGGTTAAAAGGTATGCAGCATAAGAAGTGTTTAATGTCAATATTTTTTGTCATAAACTTGACTGTCTTTTGTTTTGGTATTACATCAGAACTAAATCCTCTTATTTTTTATAATTGTAACATTAGTCACTGAGTGAGGCATGCGTTTATTACATGAATGAGGAATTTAGAAATGCTAAGAGAGCCAACATTTAGAAATTCTATTTTAAAAGCATCTAAAGGCCTTCATATTGCCTTGTCTACGATGTAAATATCAATATCAAAAACTCGACCGAACGCCACGTTTTCGTGTTCAGTAAAGAGTTTAATATCGTAATGGTTTCGTTTCAGGGCGTGGTTTTACTGCAAAGCGTGCCACGAAGACATTAAGGATGAAACACTTATCAAAAAGTGCAAATGCAAAAACTGTAAGATCATTTTCTTCTATTATTAGATGAGGTTTATAGTATAATGTTATTTTAATGTATCATTTCTCTTGAATGGTTTATTCAATTTACCAATGTCTGACATACTTTGTGGATTAACGAAGCGCGTATGCGTCCGAAGATCACATACACTAAATGTATCGATATATTGGTGTCACTGTTGGGCTGTAACGCAAATATAACGCCACGCTGTATAACTGTTATGTGCGAGAAAATAATAACGTTCGGCTAAACTTTTAGTGACCGCGCACCAGCGGAAGCTCGGAGCCGATATAGGTAACTTGCACACCCCACCTAACCATAACGATTGACGTTTTCTAATTATTTTCGTGTATATATAATTTTGCGTTGCTTTAGTGTTGTTGCGTCCGTAAACTGGGTCGGCTTCAACGCATCTGATCCGTGCATTCACTTATTTAGCGATCATTGTGTATGTCTGCTCGTCGATAATTATGAGAACATGCAACGCATTCTGACACCACATCTCTGTGCCTCACAGATGTCTCTTGCTCAATGCTCTATATCAACTGCAATTAGTGCATCATACATATTTATATCCGACGTAACTTGAACACCAGCACTTAAAGCATTCCAAGCTAGCATATAAATCGATATGATGCACTCCGTCCGAACAGTATTGCATGATTGAGGGAGTAGAACTCTGCAAAATGCACCCATCACAAATCCAAACACTTAGTTTAAATGCAATCCACGAAGCATGACTCAGGATAGTCCCACGGTGTTGAACGGAGTGTGAGCTTTAAAAGACAAAGACTTTGTAGTACAGTTCCGGCTTTTCCGTGCTAAGTCACTAACTTAAGAGCGATACGCCTTCCATTACTTCACCCCCGAATCTGGTAGATTCAAATTGAATATGCAATCCACATTATTGAATCTGCCACGTTCCACGCCACGATGAGGCATTCGACAAGTCTAGCGTCAGTATATGGATTTTTCCAGATGTCGGAATGATGATGATGCAGACCGGGATGGTGAAACAAAATCTTAATACATATCGAAGTGTTCCCGACGGTACGGATAGGATTAAAAACTGCCAATGCCGTGCCTCACTATAATAATTCGTTTGCAAACTAACTATTCTTTGAACAAGCTATAACGCTAATCCACGATGAGACACGCATTTAGTTTAGGGTTGCTACCACACACGTAATTCAACGGGCTTGGACGCTGCGTCCACAAATAATAATCTTTATGGCGCACTCTAATTGGTTTTGCTTATATGCTATAATATAATATTCTGGTCTATAGGCAACTTCTCACACAGGCCGTACGAGCTGGATAAACGCTTTGTATATAAGCGATCGCCGCCATATACATATACTCACTAAGAAATATTTTCTAAAATATTACAGCTACGCAGCTGCCGTGGCTAAATTGTAAAACGCATTGCGTTATCCGTAAGAGATCTTCGAATCCCGGGAAACCATAAAAATTGTTTTGGTCAGGATACAATCAGTGAATAAATAAAATCGATCAGTTAGACAGGCACAATAACGTGTCTGGCCCATGCCCCAAACAGGGGAAACGGGATTTCACCCATCTAAAATGTTATTTCTCGGTTCAGTGGCCACATTCAGGAAAGGTGTACGAGCCGTTCAGATGGTTGGCCGGGCAAGTACGTAACCTATACGTTTAAAATTAATTGTGGTGTTGGCAACTGTGCGAGCTGTCTCGCCTTGTCGTGTATCGATATCGTGTCCTGTCGTTGTCTTGTAAACGTTATATGTGCATTTTACAGTTAGATGGATGTCTATCTTTTAGCCGATTATCGGGAGATTTGTTTTATTAATAATTAATAATCGATTCGATTCTTTCTAGGTATCATACAGATTTCTAATTATGCATCGATAGTCTGATGTTGATGTTGTAAAGTCCTAGTTTTTTATTTATGTGCTTTGATTACGATTTTTATAATTGAGTAGGGTATAAGTTATAATAGTTGGTCCTGGATAGTACTGTGAAACTTTCAGTGGTTCAATTATGTGAGATTACGTCGACTTGGTATTTGCTAAAACGTAATGTAAGCGATTTGAGCATAGTGTTATCTTTACATTCGGAGCCTCATCAACATCACTTTTCATTACCCTTTCACTAGCGATGCCATAATAGTTTAAATGGAATTAAATAACTAGAACTAACAGCTAACTAATATTAGAGTAGGTCTTAGACTAATGTAGGTAGTTTTGTGCACTCGCTTGTTCAGTATGTTTGTCATTGCATGTAGCATGTTCTAAATGTTAAACTTAACTAGTAACGTAACTTAGGGGCTGCACATAAATTACGTCACACGAATTCCGTGCTCCAATGTGACGTCACAGATTTGAAAGCTTGTTTTTAAAAAGAGCGTGTTGTGTGACGTCACATAATTAGAATCGCCTTTTTCTTCACGTGTGACGTAATATAAATGTTCCCTTACTGTTGTTAAATTGATTTTACCTTGGTCCCCTGTAGAGTAATAGTTTAGTGATCACGATTCGCAAGACCAAGTTGAAATCTTGATAGCCCATTCTAAGAATATGTTCTCAATATTGTGTCACGCGCTGAATACGAGCGCGACGTAGAACGTATCTACCGACTGAGTGTTGTATAGGAATGCGAACATATGCTGATGTTTTGCAGATGACCACCACCCTCCCCCCACCTTCACGCCGCCAGAGTTGCCCAAGAAGGTCCATGTTCGAGGTATATCTCAGACTCCAAGTGCTGAGTGTTTTTTTTATTTACTTTATATCATTGGCCCACACATTACAGATGCTTCCTATAGGAAAGTGCACTTAGCTGCTTGTCCATGCATCATAGAACACGATTGGCAGAACCGCAGGTGGTAAAAGATCTTAGCATGACCCCGCGACGTACAAGTGCGTCGGAGTTCACAATAGTGAATACTAGGAGACCAGAAAGTGCCAAGCTATGCTATCACAAAGCCAAAGTTTCCTTCTCGCATCACACTGTCACAAATTTGAAATTGCAATGAAACTAAGTCTCCATAGACCTGTGCTTCTTGGTAAACTCTACAGCGGATGTTACTGTCATTCTGGATTGCTACCCTTCGCCGAGCCTTGCAAGAATCCCTAACATTGCATCTTAATCTGTATTGAATGTAAATGAGCTTCTGTCGTAGATCGATCTAATTTAGAAATTAATGAATTCGATTATATTATTAATCATTATTCGTAGTTACTTATTAGAATTTATTGTTTTCGTTCAGGTGAAGTTGCACGAGATCGAGGGGAAGATATCAGCTGTAAGTACTTTAATATTATTAACATTGAAAAAGCATTTACAAAGGAAAAACAAATCAAATATTTTCACAGAATACATGATAAGGCGATCTCATATAGGGATTTTCGTCAGGTGAATTTTGCGTAGATGAAAGAAAAAGAAAAAACATTAGAGCACAATGCAACAAAGTTGTACAATTCCAAATATAATACAGCACGTTATAGGTACACATTATGTACAAAATAAAAGAAAGTCAAAAAATTTAGAGCAATATACAAGAGTAACTAAAACTTATAGGTATGCTTTATTTTTTGGGTTAGGAACATTCTTTAAAGTTACGTTCATAATAAAATTATAGTGTCATCATTTACTATGTCCACACATTCACAGAACCAGGACCTTATAACTAAAATGAACCACCACATGATTACAAAATCAAATTACAGTGATCAATAGAAATCATCGAAACGCCGCACCGACGGCTCTGCTATCACCAATGGCCAACCAGCTCATGAACTCCACCACAACGAGACAAGTGAATAAGGTGAAGCCGAATGTAACAAGAGCGCCACCCGAAACGTAAGTCATTCCCTCCTTATCAAACTACGGTGTTCATACCAAGGTAACATAATATAGAACAGGCTAATATTATCCATTGCAGCTCTGCTCAGTTGTAAGTCTGTGGTCTCCTATAAACGCTTATAAGCGTTACGCGTTACGCCGTGTATATTATAGAATATAGACACAAGATCACACCAGGTTCACAATTGACAAACAAGATTCTCGTGAAACTCTACAAAACAGTGATTTGAAATAAAGCGTTCGTATGCTGAAATATACACGCCATTCATCAACGCCATCAGTGTGTAAAAGAGACAACAATATATTTCTTTTAGGAAGCGATATAACGCGTGATGCTGTACGCGACCTACAGCGTTTATAGGAGACCCGAGCTTAAGTAAAGCCAACTTTAATTTGGACCACAAAAAGATGTCAACAAATATTGAAACAGATCTGTGATTCACAATACCTACATATGTATAATCTTTGTATTTTTTAAACAAAAAGTAAGTTACGTCAACATAGCAACTTGACAAAATTAAATTTTCACTATTTTACGTTAATCTAAAAAGTATTCACCTGTTTAGTTTGTTCTAAATTAAAATATTCGGTAAAATATAGCGTGATTGTAAATTACATTTATCAAAAGCGCACATTCTGTACAAAACCGATTTCACTAATTATTATTGTCTAAATCTCAATTATTACTATCGAGAGTTATATGAGTACTGATAATGGACAAAAAGTTATTCCTTGACATCGGCTTTGGCTACGATATCCAATTAAACTCCCTGTTACTTTGAGCCCCTGCAATGTAGGTTACTTGATGTCAACCTATGCTTTTTATTGGTTTCTCCCAAATTAAACAGTTTAATTTCGATTATATCAGCTCTAAGTGTCTGTAAAAAAACTATCCTTCAAAGTTTCGTTTATTTATGGCGCTTCATATTAATGAACTAAATGTCTTTGTTGTTTAATACGATGCACAATTCTGCACGGCACTGAGTCAGATTACTTCATGACTGTTTAGCGATAAGTAGGTTCTCTTCGCACGTGTACTGAGGCTCCTCAAAACATTGGAGAATATTTGACCCTGTTTACAGGAATCAGCAAGAGCAAGATACGAATTACCAGGCCTATCATCTAGCCTACGAAGTGAAAAAACTCATGTAATTCCAGAAATTATTTTCCAATTATTTTATTCCGTAGTTTCAGTGACTTTGAAGTAGTTTTGTAGTGCTAGAGCTTTCGTAATTATTGTGACGAGTTTAAGGAACGTTATGCACTTGGTAGCAGCACGGCACTTAACTGTTCAAAGCGGGCATGTTTTCAAATGGGCAATATTTTGCGGTTTATATTATGTAGATTCATACTAGTTGTTTATATGAAATAGCATAGATATACCAAGCACAGTCTGTTATGCAATACACGGCTATATCGAATGTTTTTTATTTTTTAATATTCTGTATGCTCGATGCTGAATTTTAGACAATGCGATTTCCCTTTTTTCGCATTTTTTCATTTCTACTAATTTTCCAAATTACACAACTAACTGAAATAAATAAGTTAAGAACGTTCTGAATCATTATATTTTCATACGCATAAAAATTATAATTTTGTTTAGATAAAAAAGTGTAGTCTTTTTATTGTAAATGAAATTTTTTGAATTACTCTCTTATAATTAAATTTTATATCTTGGAATATTAGTAGATCACACACAAACAATTTCAATTTATTTTCACTTTTATTAATTTGAAACACCCTTATCGAAGATTGGATGAACGAACTACACAATAAGACTAAACTAGAGAACAGAATTGTAAATGTGTTCAAATACACATAATGCACGTTATAGAACCGACCTCATAGAAAGCTTCTGAAACATAATTTCCTTTTTAAACCTAACAGGCCAACAAGCCGGAGTAGTGGTGGTAACCAGAATAGTAACGGGGTCAGTCTGCCTGCCGGTCTAGCAGACGACCAGTCAAAAGACTTCGACTTCGAAAAGACTGAAATGAAATATGACTCTACAGGAATGTTCCACTGGAGTCCAGCCAGAAACCTAGAGGATTGTATATTAGTACGTAAAATTATCTGCTTCAACAGAAATAGTTAATAACTTTGATAAAAATTGTTTAATAAGATACGTACGGCAGTTGAACAGACATCGACAGCGTATCGTGCTCTATTACCAATTATGTACTAATTCAGCAACCGTCTCGCTCTATGTAATTTCAATCTTAACAAATCTAGGGCAAATTTTCTTTGGCTTTTATTGTAAATAAGTCAGCAAATTGATTAATATTTATTAATCTTTAAATTGTTGTACGTTCCGCGTGGAAGCCGTGATCGGATACGATTTATTATATATTTATACATAATTATGTAATATAACAAGAATTATCATTTCTATTTCAAACTGATTTTTAAATTATATCTATAATGCCAAACCTGTATGCTCTGTACCTAATTTTTAAACCGCAAAAAAAAATTTTCTTTAATTGGATATTTATTTTTAAAATATTTATATATTATATTATCTTTATAACAGGATAGAAATCAAGCCGCCATGACAGTACTGAACGGCCACGTGGTTGTTTGTTTGTTCGCGGACCCGGATTCGCCCTTGATAGGTTTGCGAAATCTGGTGATGCCGTTGCGTGCCTCCAACTTCCACTACCATGAGCTGAAACACGTCGTCATCGTGGGTAGCGTCGACTACATACGGAGAGAGTGGAAGATGCTGCAGAATCTACCGAAAATATCTGTTTTGAACGTACGAATTTTGCTTTGAAATTATTGTTAATTACCTTAGACCTTATTTTGGCATGTGACCTTAATTTTTTTATTTAATATTGTATTATTTTCTACCACATAACCCTTAAAGATTTCAATAGAATCTCAGTAAATTACAATTGTTAAATTATGCTTGTTTTTCTGTTAACTTTATTTATGTAATCTATGTAACGCGTGTCTTATTAGGTAATATATTAGTTAATATATTATACTAAAAATACGTAAGGGTGAAACTATATATTATAGACATTGAGGCAATCTATGCCCGTACTAGTTTTCTTAATTCACGGTTACTAGTTGTGTAAGTAATACTTAAACCTCGATTTTTCTGTGAAACTGTCTACAGCTGCTGCAAAGCATCCGAAACGTCGGGCTGTAGTTAGACTCTAATTTTTACTTTCATATTATGTTATTGCGATATTTTTGTTTGTTTCTTGTATTTTAATATAAATGAATAGTTATTTTACCTGTGTAACGGTATATAAACACGGTAAATATTCATGGTTCGTGTAGGACTATATCTAAACACTGTGTATGTTATCAGGGTTCACCGCTAAGCCGTGCCGACTTGCGTGCAGTTAATGTAAACCTATGCGACATGTGCTGTATCCTGTCAGCGAAGGTGCCATCCAATGATGACCCGACGCTGGCTGACAAGGAAGCTATCTTGGCTTCGTTGAACATCAAGGTAAATGCTATCTATAGCACAGGTTTACATGTCAAATTTGAATTATTGTTTAATCGCATGTGCTTTAAAAACTTCTTATGCGTCTCGGGACGCATGATAGAAGTAATATGAAGCGGTTTACCCATAAAGTTATTACTTAAAAAAGTAAAATTCTAGACATAATGGTTTTGGGCATAACATAATAGCGAGGCGATTAAAATTAAAACCGACCGATTATTTAAGAAAAATCTCTGGCTAAAACTACTCTATTTTTATAGAAATACCAAAATGTTTAAATTTATTTATTAAAAATACTATCTGTTTCAGTAATTGTTTAAATTTCTATTTTGCTCGATCACTAATACGTGTTATTTTCAGGCAATGACGTTTGACGACACGATAGGCGTACTAAGTGCCGGAGTAACCAACGGAAACGCCACTCCAGCACCCCCTGGAGCTTCACCCGCTCCTGTACTGCTGCAGAGGCGAGGGTCTGTCTATGGAGCCAATGTGCCTATGATTACTGGTTAGATATTCCATATGTGTTAAATTGACTTGGAAGGAGTATTTTGGCATAATATCGAGTACTATAAATTGTATACTCATTTGTTTAGAATTGGTGAACGACAGCAACGTGCAGTTCTTGGATCAAGATGACGATGATGATCCGGACACAGAATTGTATCTAACCCAGCCATTTGCCTGCGGAACTGCCTTTGCTGTCAGCGTGCTTGACTCTCTTATGTCAACCGTAAGTGTTGATGATCTTCCTTTCAAAAAATGATTATGATTTTGAAATTCGATTCAGCTTGACGATGAATATATTGTATATCAAAGCCTTCCTAGAAACGTATCAATGCATATTATAATTGATACCATGAAGAAGAAGTTTTTGTCAATTCTCTCACCCACCATATTATTAGCCTGTGAATTTAGTAAATTATATATTTTGGGCCAATATCTTATTTTATACATCTTTGACAGACGTATTTCAACCAGAACGCGCTGACTTTAATCAGATCGCTGATAACTGGGGGTGCTACTCCAGAACTAGAGCTTATTCTTGCAGAAGGAGCTGGTCTTCGGGGAGGTTATTCAACACCAGAGAGCTTAGCTAATAGGTAAGAGACGCTAAAGTTATTTGTTCAAAAATTTTTACGATATTGTAACTAACATTAACATACAGCTTTTGTCTTAAAAATTAAGAATTAATGACTAATAAAGGAATCAATGTACAAAAATATATTTATATTCCTATCTTGATTTTTATATTAAGCTGATTGCCTAATAAAACAATATTTTCTTTGCATTTTAGATGTTATAGTTAAAAAAATGTATTCATCTCTTTCTACTTTAACTTTAAAACATAATCATAATATCTGGAAAATGGCGCCGCTAGACGACACGTGGGCGTCGGCGAAATTAGGATTCGTGAAAAACATAAAATGATATAAGCCGAATTATAGTTAAATCAATGACTGATTTTTAAAATAACACTAATAGACATTACAATAGATGAACTTATTGTGCATTGGCTTAAATTAAAACATTTTTGCTTAGACACGGTTTCAAAACAATTTTTACTACATAATCGACTTTAATCTCACGATACAGGGACCGATGCCGAGTCGGCCAGATTTCCTTATACGACGGGCCACTTGCGCAATTCGGTGAAGCCGGCAAATATGGAGACCTGTTCGTCGCAGCGCTACGGACTTATGGCATGTTGTGTATAGGATTGTACAGATTCCGAGACACATCGTCATCGTGCGATGCGTCAAGCAAGCGATACGTCATCACGAACCCGCCGGATGACTTCTGCTTGTTGCCGACTGATCAGGTGGGGAAAATTTTCAAATAAGCTAATAACGAGTGAGATAAAGAGATATGCGTGTAGAGATATTTCCTAAATCCGAAAATTTTGAAATTTGAATGGGCTCGTCGAACCTCGTTCAATGTTCGATCCAAAACGGGTCCAACGTGTTTTTAATTAATTCATAATATTTCAAAATGCTGACTTCGTCTGGAATTCTAAATAGCAAATAGGTGGTAGGAATATAGAAATTTCGTTCGGCTCACGAACCACACCATCCAAAGCTGAAGAACCGTCGACAAACCAGGTCGAAGAAAAGGTCTATCGCGCATCTTGTTGAATTGTTATATGACTGGAGTATTTCACCTACCATCAAGTATAATTTATTATAAAAAAGTATAAATAACACGATGTCATATTCCAGGTGTTTGTCCTAATGCAGTTCGACCCAGGTGTCGAGTACCGATCGTCTCGTCGCGCTGGCACCAATTCGGCCACCGGCAAAGACGACGCCTCCTGACTATTGCTGTGCAGCGCCCTCACTGACGGGCCCTACTCCTACATCTAGACGCAGTACATGACGGCGGTAGCTAAACTCTCACTCGCCACAGCACCAGCGATTAGCACCACTACTCTACGCGCCTCGTAAAGCGGTGGTGCCATTCGCTGGTGCTATGGGGATGAACGTTAAAAACTCAGAACGGACGCTCGATTAATCGCAACGAACATTCCTCAAAGGATAATCAAATGTATGTATCGAGTTGTTCGTAGAGTTGCGTTACTGCGTTGGTTATATGTACTGTAGCTAGACTGTACCGGCCGGTAGGACCGTCGCACAACACTCCGACAACCCTACCCGAATTTGCTCTCCCAATATTACCCTTTTTACGCAGATTATATTAATTATTTATCAGTAACAGTGTTACGTCACACTTTCGACTCGGGATTTATTTGTTTCACTACGTAAACAGTGGACTGTGTGTCGTATAATTATTACGAGATTTATAAATAATTAATATTACAACTGCACCTACCTTTTATTTCCATTCTCACGTCCCAGATGCAGTATACGCACTTTTTTATTTCGTTTACGTCACCTTCCTATACTTGGCTTCGTCTGAAACGGATAATGAAACAGGTGGGGACAGGATTCAAACAGATAGGTAGCTTTCGATGTTGTATACGTTAGGTGCGATAGTTTAGAACTTATAATTTAACGGCACTTTGAATTCTGTGTAAATCTGTTTGATTACGACACTATGAGAGAAACCACTTCTTAAAAATTGAAGTGAAACCTTTTAAACTTTTAATTGCAAGACCAGATGAAGACATAAGATAAGTGCTAATTTAACATATTTTAGTACGTCCATTCCTTATTCTAGAATGATAAAATGCTACTCGTAAGTTTTCGGTAAATAAGCATATAACCTCATCGACTGAATGATTCATACATTCTTCATGTTTTGCGATCTAAGATTTCGACTATTATGAATTATATCAATTAGATTAAGGCTTGCTTCATATTTCTATGCACTCTGGTAGTGGCTATCATTTTGTATAAGTACTCTTTAGGTAACTCGGTGATATTATTATTTTGTATTCTGCTACTATTCTAATCCTTATGCACGTGTATTTTCAATTAATCATCCGTAGATTTCACAATTTTTTAATAAATATTTATTTAATAATTTTTCGTTATTTTCTTTTGTTTTTTCCCAAAATTGGGCGGGGATTGTCAAAGTGGACGTGATCAATGGCGCTGCACATAAAACAATGAACTGGACTTTGCGTATGCTCACAATGGCTGTTGTGTTGCGGACTATGCTGAATGTGTAATAATTTCGATGCAGTGTGATATTATTTTCGACGTTGTTAAACAGGGCTTCAGAAGCCCACGATGTATTTAGTGTTAACTCCGGGTGCTTTGACGATTGTGGACTTCTTTCATAGATATAGATCGTATAGATGTTATATGTAGATATACCAGTTAACTGCTTCGTCGCGATATATCTAACTGCCAGTCAAATGTGATTAGAAATAAATACGAGACTTAACAATTTCAAAAACGATTCTTTTAATCGGTTTAAGAGTGATTTAATGAACGTGTACCACTCGAGTACTACAGATGCGACATATGAAGCAGTTAATTAGTATAACTTGGTCTAAAATTTTAGATAATTATGAGAATTTTAGTGATTCATTCTACAAACATTAGATCATCATAGCCAGGATATTTGGCAAATATTAAAATATATTAGAAATGTTACGACTCGTGCTTGAAATCAATGTAATATTAACGCGCGCTTAAAGTAGGCAAAGGTAAGAATATTTGTCAAAAATCCTGCGAATGCATCGTATATTTCGTTTTACGAATTCGTAGTTTTAACAAGATTTCACCGAATTTTCTCTAAATTCCACCGACTTCATGACTTAGAATAGAGTAAAGCCGGCCCTAATTAGGTAAATGTGTATGTTTTCATTCTTATGCGTGCGTGTTATACGGTCCAGGAGTAATTGAATTAGTTTATAAAGGAATTGAACTTGAATGAATACTGCCATATTTTTGTAAAGCTGCGATACTTGGTCCATACAAATGTCAAAATACCCTTAGTGAAATAAAGTACAAAGTCTCTAAGGCTCACTGGAATTCTTTGTGGACATGGGGGAGGTATTCAACGATTCGTTCGCTCTATAAACGATGTCACAGCGTCTATACACAGCCAACACCTTTAAACGTAATTACTTCGTTTTAAACGGATTTATATTAAATATAATCACTTGTGTACAATCGAAGTTAATAAATTCTATTTAAAACACTTGCATCACAAAGTCACGCAAATCTTACATTAATAATTAATATAAGTAACGTAGGGGAAGATATAATACTTATGTATAAATTGAGATGGTTGTGCACGATAGCTATTTATTAATTCAATTTATTGTTATTTAATAAAATTTACGTTAACTGTAAGAAGAACATTTGACCAAAGGAGGGTAGGTACCAATGAAAATGGCTGGTCGGAAAGCAAAACGTGTTATTCATTTCAGTTGGTTGATTAGATATCGTAAGCCATGCATGCCACAGGATGCCCATAGCCGCCAAACTAGGTTTAGGTAAATACGTAAAGGTAAATCAACAACCGATATACTCGTAATTATCGTAGCTCGATGTACATAGTCATGCGTAATTTTGTGTAATACATAAGAATTTTCTCCACATCTCCTTCGCATTAAAATAGATAGTTACGGCTGCTTTAAAACTAATATTTGAAAATACTGTCGTGTGTAGTCTGTTGTGAACTAGGCTTATAGATAATTGTATGCTAGTAAGGATAGAGTTCGGACGTCTCAATGTAAAAATGTAAAATACGCTAAATAGATATTTTGAATTAATTACGTGTTTAAATAAGATTAATTAATATAAATGACGATTTTCCTTTAATATTTTTATACAGCATTACAGATATATATCGCAATTAAAAGTTTATAGAGGTGGTTCGCAATTGTGCAATTTATAATAGTGTCTAAATTTGTATAATCGCCTTAACGAGAGAGAATATAGCCCAAATGTCCTGCGTGTGTTTGCTTGAGATTGTCGTAATTTTTATCGAAGTGTATGTGACTCGTGACGAATGAAGTTATGACGCTAGCGATAAATTTTATTACTAACTAATTATTTTTACCTAACGAGGATCTAATTTGTTATTTAGACTCTCTAAGTTTCGATGGGCAATCTTGTCTTAGTCATCTCGAGGTCTATCAAATGTAATTTACAGATTTGATCTGAACTAGCCACTATTATTGTAACCAAGTAGTCTTGGAAGTCAATAATTTTGTGCCAATCTTCTGATTTCACCTTTCATCTTCTTTCACTCGATTACGTGCTCTCGCACAAATATTACACAAATAATACCGTGGGTCGTTCGTTTTAATTTTGAGATTGGTGCATTAGTTCCTGTGTAGTCTAACTGCTAATCAACGACACTACGCTAGTGACGCGATGTCAAATTCGAAATCAATCACGTAATGCCTATATTTAAGGTAGTTTCATGTTCAGTGTGCATTAAAATCCTAGATTTAACAACATTGTTGACTATTGCTAATAGCTTGAGGTTGTTAACGTTTTTAGAACAGATTGAATTTTTTATGTATAATATATACGTACTTATATGAAAATCTTAATCGCTCTACGAATATTCGCTAGACAATTTTTTGTAAGCTGATGCCATCTATTGTAATGTTACACGCATAGTCTTCTCTTAATTAACGTAGTATCAATATATAATGATGGCTGTGAGGTAAATAAAATTATAACATTTTATTAAATATATAAATTAAAATAGTGATTATCATAACTGCTCCGAAACTTAAGACGTTCTCTACGTTCTGAGTTGGCACTGGTCCGCACGTCCTCGTGAATTATCTGCTTTCGTAAGCAAATACGCGTAGAGCCAAACTACCAACTACGGTCAATTCTCGTTATGAAGAATAGTACTTGCTTTCGAGATTAATACTAAATGAAAAATCGTCTTATGAATTATGTCTACAAGATAAAAGTAACTAAAACGTAAAATCGATCCATTCGTAACGTAACAGTACCAGTGCCAAAGCAAATCATTTCTCAGCGCCTGGTAATATAGTGTATGTACGTCGTTTGGTTTGTTAAATTGCTAAACATAATATTTAACATCAATGAATCAACACGTATATTGAATATTTATAATCGTTCTTGCTTAAGCTGTTATCACCACTGTTGAAGCTGTGAAATGGGCGTAACTGAAAAACCAATTCGTATTTAAAAACTTCGTTTTGCAAAAACGGCTTTCAAGTATTCGTGTTTTTGTACGTTACGCCAACGCAGACAAATCATTTTCACGCTCACAGCTTTCGCTCTCAAATCTAAATTGTTTATTAGAAATGTATTAATTGTTATCTTTAAGTTTAGTTGAAACTGTTCTTATGAAGCTTAACTTGGAGATTTTTAAAACATTTACGCATTATCAGCATATCATTGTCTTAAGGGCTATTCGGCCGATGTGAGCGAGAAGAGGTTCTCGACGTTCGGTTTAATTCTTCGAGCAATCGAGGAGTTAACATCTCCTGATGATGCCGTCCGCACGTGATGGCGAAACGTCGAGAACCTCTTCTCGCTCACATCGGCCGAACAGCCCGAAAGACAATGATATACTGAACGATGGCCGTGAGAGCCTTACACAATTTATTTACGCATTATTATTTTAACTTTATATTGTGCATAATTAATAAGTTTGCAATCATTATAGATTAATTTTGGTCAATAAATAAAGTGTACCATATGAAAAAATTACACAAGATAATAATTTTTCTTTTACGTTACATTTATCATCTCATTACACTGTTACCTCTCGCAACACGTTCTTTACATATTTCATTACGAATAATGTAATTAAGCTCTAATTATGCACAGACGCAGTTGAAATACTGCACAAAACACGATGCCGGAAATTACCTGACTGTTCCAAATATATCACAACACAAGAACAAATTATTTAATATTGTTGATGTTGATTGTTAATAATTGCAAATAATGTAAATATCAAAATAAATTCTGTATTTGTATTTGATTATTTGTTTAATTTCGAACACCTGTAGATAGATATATTTAGTTTTAGACATGTTACTGTGTGTCAAAACAAATTAACAAATTCTTAAAATAAAAATTAAACTATTTATTTATTTACATCCCTTTTATTATTTACAAATAAATGTATATTGCCTGATGAAACTAGATTTAAGAGATCACAGACTTTAATCAAGGCTATATTAAATAGCTATATAATATCTCTATAGAACATTTACAGTGTCAAAGTTTAAAAGAAGTAAATTTAAGCAAATTGAAAAATATATAACAATATTATGACTAGACAACATTTATAAAACAATACTATTCCTAAACTGTAGCCATTGTTAATTGTACCTTCTGTCAATGTGCATTTTAGTACTACTCTTTCTAGTTTTATTCTGCTTCTTGGCAGATGCAATCGGTATCTTCTTTCTTTCCTCTTCCAGAAGTAGAGGTGGCAAAGACACTTTTTTCACACCATAGTTTTGATATAACCCTCTACTAGAAAGTTCAGTATGTGATTCTGGTGAATACAAATTCTGTAACTGAGAATCTCTTAGCCTTGCAGTATTTATCCTACCATTCATTTTACGGTCAAGCGAGCAGATATTACTTAAATTTCTCGTATCGTATAAAGATATGTATGACTTAGCACTATTTCTTTCCAAATTTATAGAAGTATCTGGACGGTTAGATTTCATCCACCTGGATGATGCTATTTCTGATCTTAAAATTGACTGACTCTGTCGTTTTTTAAGTATGGGAGTGCGTATATGTATTGGTGTTATCTGGAGCAGAGAACTGAATGTATCCGATAGGTTATTTGGTCCATAATTAAACATTTTCTCTCTGGACAATTTTGTGTCGGTTATATGTTCAGATGATGCCCGAGGTGAATTTGTAGGTGTAATATCTGTACTACTTTGTGAATGTCGGTCCTCACTCTCACTGAACTGTTCATAGTCACTATAATTCATTGCAATAACTTCTTCATGCTCAATTTGTCTGTATGGTACTTTCTTTTCTGGAATAGGGATTGCTTTTCCAACAACCCTGAAAAGATAACAAATTTAAAAGAGTGTTTGAAAATCAATACAAATGTCTACTTTTTAATTATCTTTCTAGCCAGATGTACTATGTTTATATACTGTGATAAGTCTCTGTACATATTGTATTAAGTCTATAATCGATCAATTATTGAACCAAAAAAATGAATAAGGTAGTAGTAGATTCATTAAACACCCTGCACCTAAATTGTGGATGTAATTGCTGCCACTGTAAGCATTCCTCTATAATTTCTGGCCTAGTGCATTTCTCTCCATTCTCATTGTAAAGTGTCCGCTCTATTCTTTCCCACTCATCAGCAAGTGTCCTAGTTGCTTCCTCGGTGTTTCTTTTAAGTACTGATCCTGCACTACTGTCACTTTCTTCACTATTAAAATCTGGTGTCCCTGTAAAAATGATTGCAATAGGACTATATTTTTATGCAACTTTTATTAAGTGATATTTTCAATGTGGCAATATAAAAGTACAATAATGTACGATACAAATCCACTTTATTCAGCTTAAGTATGTTTTTTTTATATACGCGTGATATAGTAATAAATAGATGATGATATTGGAATAATATTAATTCAGAGAAAAATATAATTATATGTTATTAATTATGTACCTGTTTCGCTCTCAGACAAAAAGTCTGAATAAGGAGTTCCCGATCGTTCTATAATATCTACACTATCGCCGGAAAAATTACTACAGTATGGATAGAACAAATTCCTATTTAAACTATATGCATTAGCCGATAACACAGGAAGCTCCGAACGTCGACTAAACTTCTGTTGATTTATATATGGTAAATATTCCACTTTATTGGGCTTTTCGCGAGCTGATAAATAATTCCGCGCCGACATACTTAGATTTTAACCGAGTACAGTAAATATTTACAATAATGGCATACTCAATAAATTAACTTGCAGGCTGAGCATACAAATTTTAGTGAACAAATTATTATATGGTTTTAATTTGTTTCTTATCTAAATAATTTAACAATAAACAATAGTAGTCTGTAAATATCAATAATTTTCGTGATAGGCAGCAAAAGTCAAATGCTTTAAAAGTTCAACAATAAAATTTGACACTTTGCAACTTCTTTTGGCTAGAAAATTTGTTTGGTGATCTAAGTCTTTAGCATTACGAATTTTATTTTAATAAAATTCTTTTTACTTATGAAGTATCATTATTTATTTTTACTATGATCCTAACAAAGAAAATGGCCAATGAATTAAAAAAAAAAAACAAAGAAAATTGCTTTGCAACGAAAGAACACTTGCTAATGTCTTGAAACTCATTATTGAGTATTGACTTATGACTGTCAATTGTCATTTTTGAAAGAAATCCCTATACTGTCTTTCTTTCTGTCATTAAAAAATATATTTGTCTCTAAAATCTCAGCTGTGTTGGATACGTGTTTTGAATTTGAATTTCAATAATTCTTAAAATACCGAAATTAAAATATTATTTCTCTAGTATTAGTGAAATACAACATTTTCATAAATATCTTTAATGTACAGTTTTAATAAGTGTTTCTTATTCATAACTTCGGAAAAATTGAATTTCGGCACAATTTTCTTTCCAATTTTCAACTCTGTCTACAGTGCGCAGTGAGAGGTTGCCGTATTACTGAATTTTGCCCTGCAAATCGCATCCGCAGTGACTGTCGATAAGGGAACTCATAGTCCAATATTATCAGCATTTTTTAAAATAAACTTTTGTTTATTCTAAAATTTAATCTCACTAAGCTTACAGCTCAATTCACCACATAATGACTCATTTCATAACTAAGGGTTCAAATAAAACTCAAGAAGAGGTAAGTAACCTTATATTAAGTAACTTCTTTTAATAAAACAATTTATTTCGCTCTGTATTCCTTGGACTTAACTTGTGTAAAAGAAATATTAGAAAGATACTTTCATTATCTAAAAAATATAGAAAATCTGTCTTCTCTCTTCCCACTGTTATTATGAGATTTACTAGATGTAGAGTTGCTGAAACCAAAAAATACTATGTTGATTTAAGTTCTATAAAATAAAAATTTGTTTCATTAGAAACTTCTGATGCCATTCACTTACATCCAACAAGTACCTGGAAAACAAATAAGAGCAAAACTAACAGTGGCATTTAATTATTGGCTTCGAGTGAGTGATGAAAAACTTAAAGCGATTGGAGAGATTGTACAAATGCTTCACAATTCAAGTTTGCTGTAAGTATTTATTTTGTAATATTTCCTTTAATATGGTAGTCTGCGGATTTCTTATGTCCTAAACCAAAATAGATTGATATTGCATTATAATTAGATGCTATAAATATTATAGTATTATATTTATAATGCTGGGGCAGTTTCACCATCCAAGCAATGAACTGTCCATCCCATTGTTATGCTTTTTCAACCAAAAAAACTTTGTTAGTTCTAAATCAACAAGGAAGATAGTATCAAAATGATTTTTATACTTCGTATGGCACTTAATTCTTGGCTTTAATTGTCCTTAGTCTGCAGCAATTAATTTTATTGCTTTGTTACTAACAGATTAATTGGTTTCTCATGGTCAGTTACGAGTTTCATGATTGTATATCATACAGTTATAAAGCTATTGATTTCAAAGTTTAAAAGATTTCTTTGTATTTCGGCATACTACACTTTTATAAGACTCCTCTGTAACTTTCGAAAAAGTATATAACCCTATGGTATAGAGTGTTTTACTTTTTCTTCTAGGGCAGTTTGCTTGTCCACTCCTTTGGTTGTTTATTATTCTTGTTGCATTTCTTTCTCAACATTATAATAAACTAACTGATCTGGCAAATTTTTTTTTGCCATATGCAGTATTTTGACATCATTTGATTCCCATAAAAAAGGTTCTTGTGACATAATTTTATAAGATAGACATATACTATTGTGGACATGTTTTTAGATTATTTAAAGGAAAATAACTCTTTCCTATGTGATTTTTGGATTTCCTGAACTCTTTTTGCAGGGTACGCAACGCAAACCCTCAAAGATAAATAATTTTTCCTGTTCTGTCCACAATTTCCACTGTTTCTTTGCTCCTATTGGTTGCAGCCATGTTTTAAAGCCTTTCTCGATACATGGTGTAACCAACACATAATATTTTTTCAACTCGAACCAATAGTTCCTAAAATTAGCTTTATATGAATAGTATAATTGAAATTGGAACTAAAATAATAGTCAATAATTTCAGGCTGGATGACATTGAAGACAATTCTATATTGCGGCGAGGGATCCCAGTGGCACATTCAATTTATGGTATAGCCAGTACTATTAACGCTGCAAACTATGTTATGACAATTGCCCTGGAGAAGACATTACAATTGGGTCATCCATTGGTACTTTACACTTTATTGTCATGATTCCGTAATTTTAACATATAGATTTTATGAAAAATGTAAAAGTGAAGCAATCACTCAAGCCTCTAGTCCATGAACAAAGGCATTATTATTTCCATGTGTGAAAATTTATTATTAGAAAAATGATCACTAACTTTGTGCATTTTTTTTTGCACCTTTAGCACAATGTAAATCATTAAACACTGTATTTTCCTCAAATAATTGTATGGTATTAGAAGCAAGCTACATTTATGTTTTTTTTGTAGGTATCCTACTCAATGTTACTTGAATTTTTAATTACCGTCTCATTATGTCTTTTTATTTATCCTTCAACTCTGGTCTACATATGATAAAAAATATATATAATAAATGTATAAATTTAGTTCGTTTTTGCACATTTACATATAAGGAGGATATGTGAATAATAGACTTATAAGTTTTTATATTCTAGGCAACAACAGTGTATACAGAACAACTATTAGAACTGCACCGTGGGCAAGGAATCGAAATATATTGGCGTGATAATTTCCAATGCCCATCTGAAGAGGAGTACAAAGAGATGACAATAAAAAGTAATTACTCGCTCAATACAATTACAGATAAAATATCCTATATATGGGATACTTTTGCATGTTTCATATTATTTTTGACAAACAAGCAAATTAGATAGAGGCAGATACAAATCGTGGCCAAACAGACAGACAGACACCAAACCTACCTAATCTTTGTTTTTCAAGATATAAACCCGGGACATGCACTAACTCAATGCGTTTAATAATTGCTCTATCAAGACGGTCTTTACCAAAAGGTTTACTTTACAGAAATTCTAAGAGTAATATTAATATATAATATATATATATATATATATATAAATTCAAAAACTATATAACTGACGTAAATTTTATCAGTCTCTTGATCATAGTAAGTATTAAAATTTATTTACCTTTTAGATAAAAAAAATGATTGCTTAAACTGTTGATAGATATATAAATCCCTTTAAGGCTTCGCTCATTAAGCGTGTCCAATAACGATTTTGAAAAAATCACCTTCCTATTTATGACGCCAGATGTCACTGTCGACCAATCTTCACAGAGGGTGACAGGATAATGGTGGTCGTAAAATGCCACTTCAAATTGCAAAACAACGTCACAATAAGCAGGAGAGAAAGCCAAACGTAAAAAGACGTGTGACGTCATTCATCAATGGATCCATCACTCAAAAACTCTACATCTTATATGTTTTCAGAAACTGGAGGTTTATTTATGCTGGCCATTCGCTTGATGCAGTTATTTTCCGAAAACAAGTCTGATTTTAGTAAGCTGTCTTCGATCCTTGGACTCTATTTCCAGATTAGAGATGACTATTGCAATTTATGCTTGCAAGAGGTAATTATAATTTTTTCATCTTCATATAGGAACGTTATAAGCTGTAATGTAATGTTAGGTTTTAACAGATGAAACGCCCGAGTCCTAGCTGTGCTATAGATATCTATAACAACAACGTGTTTGTCGATGACATTGAATCATCAAAGTCTTTGGTTCTAAGACATTTTGGTTTCCTCAACATGTATGATGACTGTGGAAAGAGGTCACAGGGACGCACAGACTTAATCATGAACTGATGGCGGGCCGCCAGAAGTATATGTAATTAAAGACAATAAAGTCAAGACAATTAATATGAGTATTATTTTTGCTGTCGGCATGCCACAGTCTGTGCATCTCTGCTGTAGAGCTTATATTATAATGTACATAAAGATGTGCCTGTGCATGAGTGCAGAGCCAAGTAATACACAACTTTTTAATTTTCGCCTTAAACAACCTTACAGTACTCTGAGAACAAAAGCTACTGCGAGGACCTGACAGAAGGAAAATTCAGTTTTCCCATCATACACGCAATAAGAAATCAAGAAGACGATAACCAAGTACTTCGTATCCTTTTAACATTGAGTTTTATTTAACGGCATTATGCGATTTAATAAATTACATGGCTTTTATTATTTTCATAAGCATTATATAAATTGAAAATCTATCTTGGTATTTACAGTTCGACGACGTGTGCACAGTTAAATTTCAACCTTATCACTTACGTAATAAGGTTCATAGTTACGCTGTGTAATTTGAAAGTCATTGAACATGAAATTTGACGTTTGAAAACATTTCTTTTCTTTTTAAATATTATTGCACAAGATGGCGTTATGTAAATTAAAAATTTATTCAGGTGGAAAAAAAATCGATGACTAGGAAATCCTGAACACATGCGATAAGATGTGTTATTTAATATTTATTTGGTTTTATGCTCTAAGTGCATAGACACTACTAGTTTATAACATTTTCTACGTCGTTTAACAGCCATAGCTGTTAACAGAAAAGGGGCTTTTAAGCTGTGTCTGTTTCTGAATTTTAATCTATATTTATATTAATACTTATCACAGAGTAGTGATTTTATTATCCGATATTACCTTAATATAAAATCAGATATACTGCGTCAACGGACTCGAGACGTGGAAGTAAAGCGATACTGCATCAAACTCCTCGAGAAGTGTGGAAGCTTTCAACACACTCGCGATACATTAAGAAGTCTCGATTTGGAAGCACGAGCCGAGGTATTTTTTTTATGATAGATATATGTATATCTAAATAAGATGTGTCAAACTATTTTGGCTTTGGATATTTCCAGACAAAGCCAAAAATTTATGAACTGTTTAAAAAATGGCGAAACCGGTACGGATCGAACCCACTGCCCGTTGTTTATTTACCATACGTTGCTACCACCACACCAATTAGCCTGTCAATAGCCAATATTTTCAATATTTCTTTGGTTTTGGGGCAAATTGACAAGTATTAATAAATTAATGCAAGATAAAATACTTGTATTTGTCCAGCGTGTCCAGTGCTCTCCGTTTTTTTATTTTAGAAATGTCATCACATTGTAGCTAGAGTAGTCTAGAAATCTGACCATTAAATTGAAGGAAAGACGAAATATGGTCCCGATGATAAACGATATTATATGGAACATTTCACCTTCCATGAATAAACACCTTGCTTATCTGCCTCACTTAAAAAAGCAATTATTTCTTATATCAAAATTCCTAATATTGAAGAGAGGAGTCAGTTTGTAGATTTTAGAAAATTGTCATGCAGAGCGCAGTCTTTACACTCTGTCGTTTTCAGATTTAAGTTAACACTATTGTTGATTTGACTAATAAGATTCTTCATTACATTGGGATAGTTATATACATATATATATTTTGTACACTTAAAACGTTTTCATTTACAGGTGGCACGCTTAGGCGGAAACCCGCATCTTGAAGAATTACTCGACGATCTCCTCAATTGGCAACGAAATGAAAAAGAAATTAATTAAATTTTTAAATGTTCTTTAGGCGAGACCACTTTAAGTTACAACACGAATTATCACAATCATTGCAAGTGGACAAAACATAAGGATCAAACATTATTCAAATATGTATTTATAAAAGGTATAAGGCTCTCGCGGAAATTTAGCAGTCAAAGGGACCAGTTTTCAATAACAACGATCCTACATCTGATTCAACCGGTAATTTTTTTTATAATTTGTACATTTGCAATGAAGTGGACTATTATAATTTATACTACATCCGTTACACTCAAAGACATTGTGGGCTCTTGTCTATTTAATTGTTTGGTTGATAATCGTTACTTGTAGCCCTATATTTTTTTTTGTGTCTTTAAACGCGTTTACCTCTAACACTGCCAAAACATTGACTACAAAGACGGCGCTTTATAGTAACGATACATGCGATCTGATCTAAATTTGATATACAATAAGATCATAGCACCAAACCTAGGGTGTTACTTTAAGTTTATTCGGTTTTAAATTTACTTAATTGTATCGTACTTAAATATATCGGTAGAAATAAATGTTAGTGTGTCTTAAAATATAACCGTTTTTACATAAATACTAGTCAACAGTAGGGAATTTATAGTTTAAATTTTGTTTCGGATTTCATTACTATTTCTTCAATAAATATATACTCGTAAATTGTATGTAGGCTTTCGGAGCCATTTTGAACAGCTTGATTGAGAAAAAGTTATCTTCTGTCTTAGCCATCCACTTCTGATGGTCAAACTTCGAGAACTATTACGATAAATATACTCCAGAATTTGACGTAAAGACATTATATAAACGTTACCTACATATTATTACCATAATTTTGTTCGGTTCTTATATGTAAATGCATCTTAGATTATTATTACTAAATTTACTGCACCTATAAATTTTAAGTAAGAAATATTTGTACGGTATTTAAAATGCATTTGCTTAAAAATCTTAATTAATACTCAAAGTTATGCTAGTATAGTAAAGAAGTGTTGCAAGTACTTAGGTGTTTTTATTGGCACCAAACATAGGCCAATTGTAATAGGAATTTTCATGTGCAATTATAAGGTTTAGAATTTGTAGTTGAACTAGATCTTGGCTGTTGGTTTTACTAGACTTCACTATTCTTAAAGGTACTAGAAACGCGAATTATAAACTAATTTTTAGTCATCGTCGTTTACTTTGGGTCGCAATTAAACTGAATTGATTTGAATATAATTCGCGTATTAACTCGTGTTATCTAGTGTGTGTTATTTGCGTACATGTGTAACTTATTTTAAAACTATTGTAACGCGGCATCAAAACAATAATGTTTTAATCGTAACTACAAATATATTAGGAATGCTAGATATGTAGTAAGCTATGTAAAATTGTAAGTACTTATTAACGAATTACAAGTTACATGCATTATACATTTTAGAAAGGATGCTAGTCAAGCTTTAGTTTCTTGTAAAAAATTGTGGGTCGAACAATAATTTTAAAACATTAGGTGTGCATCTCGCCCGATAGAAGTGATTTACTTATCTAAGTTAAACTACTCATGTTAAAATTGTAAGCTCAATAGACTGCCGCTGTAAGGCGTTACATGACGGTGCAGTTTCTCCTCTCATGAATTCATTTCGATTCAATATTTCTGTTTTCTCTGTTTTTTTTTAAATGACGAATCGTATTGAAACCGGATTTGTTTCATGCGGAGTTAGTAATAGTAACGATTCAAAAACACAGTACCTAGGTGTCAGATTACATAACTCCTAAGAGATATCTACCTTGGTGGAATGGTCGAATGAAACATTCTGTGTAGACGAAAAAAATATCTTATTATAAAACAGCTTAGAGAATAAAATTGCTTGAGTTTAAGTATCTGATGAAATGCTTTTTTTGTTAAAATTATTACTTTGGAAATATATATCGTTTCTTTATTTTTTAATACGAAGTCTTCCAAAGCGACAATAAATGTTAATTAGATTTCATAAGGGTTCCTAATTGTAGTCGGTTTGTTCTTTGAAAAATAAAAGAGATATATAGCTTTTATAGTATAAATATATATAACAATAATAAAATCTTATCACAAATTACAAGTCGAATGTGTTTTGTTGTGTTTGTTATAAGGAAAATGTGAAAAATTATATGATTGATTATGTAGGTCTGTAGAGTACAGATAACCAGTATAAGTGAGCTGATATTAACTTGATGCATTTGTTATCTTTAACTTGAATAATTTCGCTTTTCTTACATCACTTATCCTGCTTAACTATATCATTCCACGACAATATCCCCTTTATAACTAATAATTGCGATGAAATCATGTAAGAATAAAGTAAATTGGAAAAAATATGTAAGTATGTTATTTCTAAAATAAAGTTCACGAATTCGATAAAAATAAATTCTTTTTCAGCAATCTTCGAGAAATAAGGGTTATATAGTATAATTAAAAGCACATTACCACCAATGCTCTATTTAATATTACTTCATACCAGATCTACTAAATATAATGGTTTAAATAATTTACTAAATCTTGCTCCCATCAGCCTTTGATATTCAACATTTCAGATGTCACATGTTTTAATAAAGTTTTAGATAAAAAAAACTGACTTAACTTTAGCCATACGCACAATTAACAATTATTGTTCTGTTTGTATGAGACAATTTATATATTGACATCCAATTTGTTCATTCCGGATGGACACTACTTATTACATAGAAAATGTGAATAAGGCATTTCCAAGATATATTTGCTTAATTACTTCCAAGACAGCAACTCGTCCATAGCTGCCGTTAGGCCTGGATTGTCACCCAAACGTTTTATCTGTAATAATATAATTGTCGCGTGAGGAATAATTTATTGATTTTAATATTATCATATTCATTATAAAACTAGGTAACACTGGATGGATCATAATTTATAGCTCACCTCGTCCCTAATGTATTTGTCTAAATGAATAAGTTTCCCACGCGTATACTCCAAACTGCCCAGTCGTTCTAATTCCGATACGCAGAATTTTTTTAGCGCAACGTCGGTTGTGCGTTGCCGAAGGATATCTTAATATTTTGTTAAAGAAATTTAAAACATAATAAGAGTAAGTAAGAGTAGTTTTAAATCAATGTAACGTTTTTTATAATAAACTCTAAAATCTAATGGGTATCGCGAGGCAAAGATGTCCCGCGCGCCTGTAGCGGCGCAATTTAGAAATTGTCTTCAAATGTTTTCTAATCTATATAATATATACTTAACGACGTCATCCGCGTCCCGATTTCAAGTTAGTCTTAAAAGATGTGTAAACATTTTTTAGATCATTTAAAGAGGAATAATTCTTTCCTACATATTTTTTGGGTATCTTGAATCGTTTTCCCAGCAAAGGAAACTCTTTAATGCTTAGCTAAACAATTTATCGCGTTTTCTCATAATTTTCGCGGTGTCTTTGCTATAGGTTGCATTTTGTTGTTTTACAGCCTAAAGCCTTCCTCGATAACTGCACTAACCAACACAATCCGTACCAGTAATTCTTAAGATTAGCGCCGTCAAACTGATAAACCAACAAACTCTTCAGCTTTATAATATTTGTATAGATTAATACCATGAAAACGTTATAAAAGGATACTGAGCACTGCATCGCCCTGTGATGTCTGGGCGGCGTGTATTATTGGTAAAGTGAACTTTCCCTCGGTCAGGTCTTCACAGAAAATATCCAAATTTATTCCTTTCTGAAAATAATTCTGTATCATCTTATGTAGAAGAATAGTAAAAATGCTTAAAGACGATTAATAAAAAATCATTTTTGATTAAAAAGATTTTATGCTCTAAACAATTGAGCTACCATGTCAACTGGACAATTGACTAGAGCAACAGCACGGAACGCTATGGATGTCGGTTCAAATCCTGCCCATGTCGTAAAAGCACTTCAATCTTAAATCGATTTTTAATTAATATACTACCATCATGTGCACTAACAATACCAATTTCACTAATGCGAAAAATATTAGTGTACTTAAAAGTAATTGAATCTAAATATGTATAAGCAAACACGTTTAGTTTTAGATGATTCAATTATAACCTCACTGTACGCTGCATCGGGGTATTCCTCCAGCTCCTGTAAGCAAAGATACATAATAAATTCCTGTCTTTTTATAATAAACTAGCTGTGCCCGCGAATTCGTCCGCGTGGAATAGTGACTTGGGGTAGAATTTTTTAATTATTTGGGCTGTTTATTATATCTATGTTGTAAGTGCTACTTTGCCGCAACACTCACCTCACATCACTCATACTCCAACTCCCACTCCCACTCCCATTACCACCTCCACTCCCACACCTACTCCTACTCCTATTCCCAAAAGGCCAAAGAACAAAGTTTCATTGTTTGTTCAAAACCACGAATTTCCATACAAACTTTCATCCCCTTTTTCAACCCCTATCAACCCTTTTTAGGCTCTAAAATATCTGTATACCAAATTTCTCTTAAATCGGTTCAGTAGTTTCGGTGTTAAAGCCGGACAGACAGACAGACAGAGCTACTTTCGCATCTATAAGTATAGATTGTTGTTTTAAATCCTTAAGTAAGCATTACCACTTGCTTAATAAGGTTGCAGTAATCATCTCTAAGCTGGAAATACAGTCCCATGTTCAATACGAAGTCGTCAAAATATGTTTTATTTTCGCTGAATATTTGCATCATATGAACTGACATCAAAAACATGTAGCCCGTTTCTGAAACGAAAAATTATTTATAATTATAACACGTAATAAGTCATTATTGTATCTCTTACAGCGGTACAGGTAAATAAATAATAATTTCATACAAGGTTAATTATAAAACTAAATTAAAATTCAATGTCGTTTATTATTATTTATTCAGGTTATCTATGTGTTAATGACGTATTTTTTGCCTCGTGGCTAGTACTCGTTTTAACTTATAAACGTCCCGATGCTGGACAGAGACCAACGATCGCATAGATGGTAAATTAAGAGTCTTAGAACCACCTTGGTACTTCAGTGCGGGTCCCGTTTAAACCCAACCACTAATTTCACGATAGTCGTCAAGCCTTCCCTCGACGGGCTTGTTGGTGTTATGGTAGCACTGTATGGCTAATAATGTACGACAACGAGTAGTGGGTGCGATCCCCACCGCGTCCATCATTTTTCTAATCATATTATATATTTTCTGAAACATGTTGGACTTCTGCAAATCTGGATATTAAATGAATGGTAGGAATATCGAAATTCCGTTTGAGTCACACGACCACACACATGTAAAAGCGGTGAAGTTTATCGCGTTTTGGTTGCAGTCTATGGATTTCCGAATATCCAAAACTATAACAGGTCGACAGCATCTTCTTTAGATGTTACACATCAAGTGATTCCTATGCTTCGTAGCCTCCTCTATCATAAAAATATCTATGACAAACGGTTGGTACGTTAATAGGTTTTACAGATATACATTTTAGAAATCAAGGCAATAAAAAGATTACTTTGCCTGTTCATTTGGTTGTATTGTTCCTCGGTTGGGCAAATAAAATTTTCCCTCCAAATCAGCTCAGTGCCTTGGCCGCGGATAATTTCTAGGAAATCTTTTAAAACGGATGTAATAACCTGAAATAACAAAACAGAATTTCACTTCCACAGCCTTCGTTATATATTTACAATAAATATCTACTTATTATTGAATGCAAAAATCATATACCTCTGGATTACCCAGTTTTTGTAGTTTCTGCAGCAATAAAGTTATAACGTGGAGAGAAGTGTTGACAGTCAGCGGAATTCCATAGATGCAGTGTGCTGATGGCAATCCACGTCGTATCGACGTATTATCTTGTATATCATCAATTCTACGAACAAAAGGGTAAAGGAAATATGAAAACCATCTTTGTCTTATTTAGGATACAAAATTTGACAGTAGAAGTAAGAGTCACAGTATAAAAAAAGACGAAGAAGAAGAATAAAGGATAATTTGAATATATTTGTAATTGTAAATAATTTAAATGTAGCTGTGACGTTTTTATGATGTTCATTTATTTTTAATTTAATAATAAAGGTTTTTAATAACGTTAGATAATTAATTCTCTTTAACAGTATTATATTTTACTCTGCAAACAATATCTTTTTTATAAATAACAATTATATACATCAACAATACAATAGCATATTAAAATATAATAGCAGAATAAACTATATATCTTGTTTAAATAAATTCCAAAATCCACTTAACTGACTAAGGAGTAAATTAATAAACAAAGTATCCCGGTTTTATTCTGCTTGAGAAAAAGAAGTCTAATTAATTTTATGGCCTCGTAACAAAAGTTCTCAGGGGGAGGGTTGGAGCATTAACATTAAAGAAAAACGTTATTATCAAGCAATCCTCAAACCGAAGTTAGTCCTTACAAAAGCGTGCCATTGTAGACCATTCCCATGACATCCATTATTTTGTCCAGAGTATCTTTGGGTAGCTTAAACCAATGGTTAAATGCAACCGGAATCTTGTCTCGTAACTTCTTGCCTTGCACTTTTAGAATATGTGTATACGGTAGGAGCAGTTCCTGATTGGCAAAAAAAAAAACTAATTTGTAAGTTAACTCCTTAGAAATTATTATAAATCATAAATAAAGAGGCTTACATTTACTTAAAATTGGATACAAAGTTTTGAAATTTTCTAGGTAACAAGGAGATAAGTCATAAATATTATATTATTTCCTTACTTTTTCTAATACGAAAATTAATTCAATATTGAGAAGTGCATATTTATGGAAAATTTCAATGAATTTGTTTTAAAAGCATGGGAATGGATTAGGACAAAATTATCTGCCTATTAAAAATAATTATTTCCTATTAAAAACTTACCTTTTCCATGTATAGCTCGCTGGCTTTTTTCTTTTCTTCCGGCATTTTTGACGTATTTCCAGCCACAAAAAAGATCTAAATCTTAATTAATATTTCGGTGGATATTACCTTTTTTACACCTAATTATAAACACTAGCAGCACTCACAAGATTTGACGTTACTTTAAAAAAACATTAATTCTATTGTGAACTCGGATTCCGAACGGGGATATTTATTCTGTTGTGAATGGATTCTTAAGCGTTACTATGTTTACTGTAATTATCGTTTTTTAACAGCTTAAGTTAACCTTGCGGCCGCAACTTCGCTTGGAAACTTAAATACAATTAATAAAATTGAGATCTACCTACATTTTACAAAATTAATTACATCCTCAAAATGGCAGGGACTTTCTGAAAATTACATTAGTGAATGTAATCGATAATCTTATATCGAAAGACATAGCAAACATTATAAGCCTTTATCCTGTAATTAGGAATACAGTTAAAAATTGACCTCCCTGGAATATCATGTTTTAAGTTTGGAGTATTTTTTATATATATATTTAATGCCATTATGTGCACGTGAAAAATTATTAAGTTTTCGATTGACGGTATTTAAGCTGGTTTATTTTTCTTTATTAATTTTTTTAAACACCTTTTGCTAAATTCATAGTTTCTATTTTTGTTACATTAAATATGTCTTCGACAAAACGACCTGTTTTTTTCAAAGAGTGGTAGTCTTTTTTTATTTAAGGGTAAACAAAAAGTGGACGCTTTATCAAAATGATAGTCTAGATTTTTGCATGTTAAATTCAAATATCGTAGCATGTAATCTTGAGTCGTATTAAACTGACTTTAGTGAATCCCGTGCTTTTTATACAAATATCTAGAAAAATGACAGATAGACAACATCCTATACGATTAAAAGTCACCAGTATTTAAAACATGCATTAAATCTTAACAGTAATTAGAAATTATATAAGCTAATCGTCTATTCATATTATATTAATTGAGAATAAAGCTACAATTATTGAATGTGCATTTTTTGTTGTATTATATGTAATTAACAGTCGATTATGAATAGAAGAGAGATGGGTATTTAAGAGTAAAAAAATAGATAATTGCACTTTTATTTAAGAAATACATTTCTGTCCAGTTCATTCATTTCAGTGACTAAAACCTGCGTTCAGTTGCTCTGTAATTATTTAACGAAGATAAAATACAATTTATTTAAATTTGATTCTCTATATTCGATTCATTTGAAATACGAGTCATTAATCGTCACACTGTCCTTTTATATGAAAGATAGTTTCAGAGTTTAGCCCACCACGCTGCTCCAGTGTAGATTGTCGGGCTGCAAACGACTGCCGTTCCTAGACTAGTGAATGTACGTATGTACTGAAAAAAAAGTTTATAATCAAGGGTATTTTCGTTCTTTAAAAATTATCAATTAATCATCGAAAAAGAATTGAAAAAAATTTCGACTCGGGCAGGACTTGAACCGGCATCGTCAGCGTTCCGCGCTCTTCTCTACCATTTGAACTACAGAGTCAAAATTATTATAATATTATTTATTTAAAACCTTTTTATTATAGTAGAACTCGCCATCTTGGCTCTATAACTTCTATCACTTAAAAACGTCGATATTTTCCACAGCGTCTTTTTATTGGTACAAACATTGTTCTGAGTGTCTTTATAACTCCCAGTATCTTAAGTGACATTTACTATTGATAGAGCTGTGTAATAATAAAACAAATATAATTAAATCGTTTATTTTTCAACTTTGAATTAGCGTCTAAGTCACAGTCAAATTATTATCAAAATATTTTATTACTCATTTTTTTTAATTTTATGGGGCCATAAAGAGGTTGAATATTAACTATAAAGACGAATAAATGATCTTCCATGTACATATTTATTTTTTTATGAATCCTCAGGTAACGATTTCTCACGCCTTTGTGTACATACCTACATACTTACCGAACTATTTAAGATTAGCCAGTACTAAACCTGGTTTCATTGAAATAATATGAATCTAAGTTCGATGTTAATATTGCACGTTTAACAAAGATATAATGTGTCTATGACAACTAGATCTATACTAATATATAAAGCTTTTAAGAGTTTGTTTGAACGCGCTAATCACAGGAAGTACAGGAATCTCAGGTTCGAATTGAAATGACCAAAATAACGATTCTCGCGGACGAAGTCGCTGGCACAGCTAGTGTGATAATAATAGTTTTACTGAATATATATTTTTTAGGTAGAACGCAGATTTTTTTTTGAAAATTGTTTTTGCAAACTCGTATTTCTTTTTTAATTTCCTTTAGAATAGAATGTTTTGTTACTTTTAATTTCTTAAATTAGACAATAAAAATGAATTCAAGTGGAGCACGAGAACACGTTGCTGTCACTCATCGGTTTTATTTACAGGCAAGTAGTTGATCAGAGTTCTGCCGACTGAAACAACAAATTGTTTTCCCGGGCTTGGAACACTGGCCCTGTCGCGCTCAAGTAAATGATAGACAACACCTTAGACAAAAGTTCTTCTTTATTTTGTATATATCAAGGAAAATACAATCATGATAAATCTGGTTTACAAAGAAACCTAGATATTATGATAAGACTACATGTATAATAAAAACGAAGGAAAGTTTTTCCAAAAACTTATATTATGTATATATATAATTTACAAATATTACTTCCAAGTCTTCATCTCATCCATAACTGCCAATAATGCTGCATTATTGCCCAAACGGTTTATCTGAATATATAAATATGAAGATAAAATATACAGGCACCTACTATGTTGAGTATTTAAATCAGTATGTAAATTCAAATGCATCAAGGTTCATATAGTTATAAACCTTAACCCATTATAATTAATTACTCTCCATTATAGATTATATAATATGTAAATATTACAAAGATAAAAAAAAATAAGTGGTAAAAAATCATAATTTTTTTTACATAAAATTTAATTATTTTTCTCTCGATAGGTATGATCTCTGTCTACGACGGTTAAAATTTAATCATGCGAAAAAAGAAACCAAATCTATAGTTCTCAGATTGCGCAATATAATACCAAAGTTACATCGTCATGTTTCTGTGAGACGACGAGTTCACAATTTGATTCGTTTACAAATTTCAAAAGGGAAAATCATTCGTCAAAAGTAATTTCTATGCTCATAATAGTACAAAAAGAACTTTAAAAACGTTAAAAGATAAATTTAACTCGTTGATCCAATCCGGTCCAATATTTTCTAATTTCAATCTGGACATTAAACGGGTGGTGAATCTGGGTGGATATCTGGTGGGTGGTCTGGAAATCTGGATATTACATGGGTGGTAGGAATATTAAAATTCCGTTCGGGTCATGCACCACCATCCACAGATGTAACAGCCGTTAAACTTTAATCGCGTTTTGGATTCAGTCTTTAGATTTCCGAATAACCAAAGCCAAAACAGGTCGATAACACATCTTGTTTATTTGTTATATGGCTGGGGTAGCTTGCCGTTTCCCTTGTCTCGTGATAAAATGTTGATAAGTTACCTCGTCCCTGATGAATCGATCAAGGCAGACTAGTCTATTACGGGTGTATTGCAGACTACCCAACCGCTCCAATTCCGATACGCAGAACCGCTTCAGAACGACATCTCGCGTTCTTTGCCGTAAAATATCTTTATTGTTATATCAGGATAAATATTCATCAAAAAAATTACGCCAATTTTCCTTATTTCTGCTTAATTATGTTTCCAAAACAAAAAAAGTAGGAGCGTCATTCAATTGTTAATGTCTTATTGAAAATTAAATTAGTCTCCTACTTCAATTATATATTTTTACTTAATTTAACTCTGATTATCTAACATTTTATCCTAATTGATATTTTTACTGTGCAAGTGATAAAAATTTTATTTGAATTTTATAAAAACTAAGTTCGCAGCCATTAAAGCACAAGGTGATTTTTTTCTGTTTAATTCTTTCGTCCATTTTAAGAAAGTAAGATAAGACCAATATCCGACTCACATTTAGCGTCCGAGAGAAGGGTCAATCCCTTCTCTGGGACGAGAAAAGATATTTTAACAAAATTGATAGCATAGCAGAGAACTTGGAACCTATGACACTTGACATATCGTTACCCCACTTTTTGAGCTACAGTCTAGTCTCAGATTCTTTATTATGTCTGTTCATGTAACAAAAATTGGTCTAAATAGAAAAGGATACGAAGTACAGCTTCTCCATCCGATGTTCCAGCTGCATGGATTATAGGTAACGAAAATTTCCCTTCTGATAAATCTTCACAAAATATCTCAGCCTGTAAATTAAAAAAAAACTCTATTTTATTTTCGATCAACATTTTTAATATATGACTGGGAATATTTCTCCTTTCTCGTAAGAGACGGCTTAAGAGCTAAGACCTACGCCTACTAGGCGAGTTCTCGAGACATGAGAGCCATTTTAATATCTATCAAATCTATACTATTTTTAGAGGAATTCTAAATACTTAACTATACGCACTTTGCTCAACCTGGGAATCAAACACTGTACCTTTTAATCTATCCATTGTGAAACAATATATAATCGACGCCTTGTATATTAGTAACAATATGACATAACTGTAAAATATATTTGTGCATGTCATAACTCATGAGTCATTTCAACATCGCTTTAGCGGCCTTTGATAATTCGTAGCAAAAGTGTTACTTTCGTACTTTTTTAATTTTTAAAATTAGCTTTAGCAAAAGCCCGCCTGTGTATTGCGCAAGTTCAATGAAATGACACGATATCTCAATTGGTAGAGCAACAGCACGAAACGCTGACGATGCCGGTTCAAGTCCTGCTCGAGTCGAAATTTTTCTTCAATTTATTTTCGATTTTTAAAAGTCTTGTTCAGTTAATAGGTACATTAATGATTATTTTAAAACATGAAAAATATGTGGCAAACTTTAATTTGTAATTACCTTCTTTTCATCTCTAGTCGTCCATTCTTCAAGGGCCTGGAATTACATTCACTATTATTTTTATGAAATCTCATACGCATATATATACGTACGATAATCGATAATTTATTTGTGTTTTTTTGAAATTCTGTAATACTTTTTCCGCTACAATATATAAAAATTCGTCTCCGCAGCTTAATAGTTAGACGTGTCTGTCGTGTTTTGATCGGCTCGTTGTTGAAATGGAAGCAAAGTATGGTACATAATCAACGTCATAACCCGTTGATTGTTTGCAATATCGTTCGATGGGGAGAGTCCAACATTTTTCTATTTAATTAACAATTCTTCTTAAACAAGTTGGACTTCGACTAGAAATCTGCATAATTAATGGGTAGTAGGAACATCGAAATTCCATCCGGATCACGTACAACAGTGCACAGACCGTCCGTTTTACCTTCAGTCTGTGGATTTCCAAATATCCGAAGCCAAAATGGGTTGACAGAACATATTGTTGAGATATTATATGGCTGGGGTAACCTTCAACCTATGTTATCCACTATCATAAAAAAAAATATTACCCTGCAGTGTAAAAAAAATCAGAGTTCGAATCCTTGGGAAAAATATATCGGTCCCACAGTGCACAGAAATCTTATCAACAACTTGCCGGGAATATAACCGATTAGTGATAATATATACAGGGACTATAAATAAAATATAGCAATTCTTACCTCCTGGTGAACAAGATTACAATAATCATCCCTCAATTGATAATAGAGGCCCATGTTTAGAACAAGATCGCTATAATCCGTCTTATTATTACTAAACAGTTGCATTAGCCGAACACTTAGCAAATACATGTGTCCCGTTTCTATAAAAAAAGTAAAAATAGTTACACCCATACTTGCAACGAATCAGTGACTCAATTTAAATATCTTGCAAGCAGAAGCTGTGGATTCGAATTTCAGCCAAACATATTGTGATCTGATTCCCTTGTCTTTTAATTGAATCGATAAATAAAACTGAAAGCACATAGTCATGAGCCATATTTAGAGGAAACCATATACATATAAGCAAACACTTTACTGCCTTTGTCACCTGCCAACGTGCATTTGTCCAGCGTGGTCAAGGCCTTCAATACAGTTGGCCCAAATCTTGGTAATTGAATCCCCTTTTATACTTCTATTATGCTTTCGACCGATTCGAGATGTTGCAAACGCTGATGTTTGCAGCATGCGAAACATCAGTTCGCGTCGCGTTTTAAACCGTTAAAAGTGATTAATTGATTTTTTTGCACGTACTTTGTTTATTCATTTTATCATACTGTTCCTCCGTTGGACAAATAAAGTTATCTCTCCAATAAACTTCGATTCCTTGACCGCGGATAACTTCTAGGAATTCTTCACAGAAAACCTTTATCGCCTGAAAATTTAAATTTATCGTGTAAGTAAATGAAAAAATATGAAATTATTTTTTTTAGTTTGTATTGTGTTGGTCCTCGTATGAGAAACGGAATGTGGACTGATATATTATTTTTAATTATTCGTAATAACACATATAGATAATATTTACGTTTAAATTCTGTATTTTTTGCCACCAAAGATTTTTTGTGAGAATCCAGAAATCAATTCAATTTCTGATAAAATTCCCTTCGCTTCGTTTCTCTTAGCCACAGTTAAAACTTTTTTTATGAGGTACCACAATTTTAGATGTATATAATTACCATAGGATTTCCTAATTCTAGCAGTCTTGTTACCATCAATACAATGACATGGAGTGCAGTATTGAGAGTTAGGGGAATCCCATAAACAGAATGTGCCGCTGGCACACCACGGCGGATCAGGGTGTTGTCCTGAATGTCATCGATCCTGAATACATACATTGATGGAGAATGAAAAACGGGCTTTATCTATGCATGTACGAGTACTGTATAACCGAAAGCCAAATTTTATTGGAGTTCTACGACTGTATAATAATGTAATCATTTTTTATCATGGCAAATAAATAATGTTTCTTTCTTTATACAAATAAATAACTAAGAAAGGCAACTAACTATACGCATATTTTGAAACATAAATATTAACTTTGCTGACATTTTTGTAAACATTTCAAACACTGTATTTTCCTCTGACACAATAAAAATAAATGAGATCTGAATTTTTCACAATTTAGTGAAGCACTGAAATAAAAGCAAAATTCTATTACATTCTAAAAATCTAATTGACCATATTATAATTTTTCCTTGTTCGTTATAAAATAGGAATATAATATCTCAGTCCCATATGCGCTTATTATATTATGGATGACTTAACAACGATATAAATGGTAGCTTATAGGCTTCTGAGATTGTCATTGGCATAGTAACCTATTTACAATACAAGTATAACGCGTGGTAGTGCGTTTCACACTTGTTCGCGTCATTTTTTGTGGAGACAGGCGAGCCGAAAATATCAACCGGGGCGTTAGTCCTATTCCCACCCTGTCTTTGATGTTACTAAATGATTTTTTATACAATATTTAAGACTAATGGTAACGTATTAAATGGATTGTAGGAATATCAAAAATTTGTCACACACAAACGACCATGCACGGATGGAAAAATTGTTAAGTGTTAAACGGTATTAATACATATACAATATTAATTTTTAAAATATGCAAATAGTTCAAATAAAACGGTTTAAAACGCGATATATTAGTTTTAAAAACGCCAAAGTGTTTTATTTAGATGTGTACTACCCGCGTAAACTATAACCTGTATGAAAATAGTTATTTATAGATATAACACTTCACTTTTGACTATGCTAAATATAAAAAAACAGTTAAAAGTGTTTTATTAAATATCTAGTAGTTACACGCACACATTAGAATTTACAAAATTAAGAATCGACAGGAAAGGACTTACAGTAGTGTACCATTATGGAGCATATCCACCAAGTCCACGATTTTATTTGCCAGTTCATCCGGTAATTTATAAAACTCATTAAAAGCAAGTGGGAGTTTTACACGAAGCTGTTTGTTTTTAATGCGTGATATATGAGTGTAGGGTAGTAAAAGCTCCTGAAATTAAAGATATATAGAAAATAATTAGTAAACGAATCGCCCGACAGTTAAAATATATATGTTTATATACGTCAATATATAGCAAATGTTGTAAAAGTACATCTCAATACAATCTCAAAATATAACTTACAAAAGTAATGCTTCATCTTTAGCAACTCGCTGTTAATTGTTGTAAACAAAATGGTCGTTGGGAATAAAAGCAGTGTTAGAATATTTTATTGCAACATTTTTTTAACTTCAGAAGGCGGGTAGATGTTGAAATGGCCCTATACGAGTCGAAAATACTCTCAGAATGATAATTGAATGGTATTACACACCTTTTCCATATACGGTTCGTTATTTACTGCCCCACTAGTGTTAGCCATGATTTCCAAATTATCCAAAATAAATGCAATTTTTTTATTAATAGAAATATTACTAACAACACTCTTGTTGAATGAATAGCGCACAAAGATAACGACTCAGTATGCGACGGTAATTCTCTTATATACGTACATTCACGCGACAACTCCCCTCAAGATTGCATTAAAAATATAGACATTAAAAGTAATTGACATTCTGAATCTACAAAAATAATTTAAATAATATATTATTATGACGTCAAACCATTTTTGTCTAATTCATTGTATTTCCTCATAGTTGGTATTTGCACCCTGGTCTCAAAAATTAGCAGATGGCTTTAGCATAGATTTTACATTGATATTAGGGACACCCTTTGTCTTCAGTCCCACTGTGACCACGCCTGCTGCAAAACATCGGAAACGTCGGGTCATAGTTAAAAAACGTAAAATTATATTTGTTTCAAACCTCGTGAAACCGTAAAAAATGTTTAAATATGTACTACTCACGTAAACTAGAGATTATAAAAAACTAGCTGTTTCAGCGACTTCGTCCGCGAGAGTCGTTATTTGGGGCATCCAAATTAGTTTTTCCAAACCCCTTCATCTTTATAAACTTAAGCTGTTACCCACGACGTCAGTCGCGCCCCCTCTCGGCGTTCTCTAGAACCTTAAACGATTGACATATCGCATCGCTCGAACTTCTTTTTAGATTATTTAATGAGATTTTATTAAATCAGTATCTTGAACCGTTTTTTTAACATTTCTCGCTGTAACTTCGCTTGTATTAGTCACATAGCAATGTTTTATAGCCTTTAGGTTATAAAACTACACAATAAATGCTCTAACCAACACAAATATAATTATTCAATTAGAACCCGTAGTTCCTGAAATTAGCGCGTTCAAACATACAAACAAATAAACTCTTCAGCTTTATATATTAGTATAGATAGATCTGTCTATAAGATCTTTGTTATTGTGTAATCTAATAACTTCGACATTCGTACAAGTTCATAATAGCTTATATGGATATTAAAAGCACCAAATCGATATCTTAAATTTTTCTTAAAATCCTATCTGTATTTAAAAAAAGGAACAAAACAATTGCATAGAAAAATATAAAATGTCTTCTTAAACCTAAAGGCAAACTACGTAATTTGAAAGCTGACAACATAACTGCGCATTATTGACAAAACATATTATGTGATGTGATTGTAGATTTCACTTGAAATAAAAGTTAAATTTAAGGTTTACTATACTTAACATAGCATATAGTTCCTATGTTATTATTGTAGGCCATTGAGACCATTTCTAACGATGATTAAAACCAGTTTTATAGATATAATATATACCTGCGATTGAAAACATCGTTACATTTTCTGTCGCCCATAGTCGGGTAGCAAATAACCCGAGTCAAATGATCGCGTCAGTTTTATTATCTTCTGTAATCGTAATAACTATTTATTTGTCATATAAAAGTCTAGAAATTTTAATATTTATATTATATAATTCAACTCATTATTGTTCCAAAATATAATTGCCGTGGGTAAGCTGTTATATTAAATTAATACCTATTAGAATCCTTATTGTACCATTGACGTAATTCAAATATAATATTCTAACCAAAAACTGCAAGAAATGTGAAAAATATTAAATAAAAAAATATACTTTGTAGTATTACGGAGCTAGAATGATTACATTCCAAGAAGCATGCCTGAAATTTACAATTAATTATGCATACCACGCATATATTATTTCCTATTCTAAATCAGAGTTGAACTCGAATATTAAAAACGTCACAATTACAGACACTCGAAAGAGCATTTAAATTATTTAAACCTAATTTATTTCATTTAAATAAAACGCGATATATTTGTCTCCCCGTGACCACGGCTGCTGCAGAGCATCCGAAACTTCGGGCGGTAGTTAAAAACAAATTTCAAATAAGTTTAACTAAAATATATCGCCTTTTAAACCGTTAAAGTATTTTATATAAATGTGTCCTACTCGCGTAAACTACAGACAGAATTTAATAAACCTATTCCTATATTTATTTTCTCAAGAAGGAAAAGGTGTATAAAATATCGTTGAGATATTTCAACAAAACCTCTCGGTTCCGTTTCTTTTAAGATACATCACAATGCTTTTCGGCCAATCAGACCTACTACCAAATTCCAGACTTTTTTTTAAGAAAATACTTAACTAATACACACTGCTCAACCATGGGGTTCGAACACTAAACCTTCTGATCTCTCTCTGATGTTTTGCGACCTTTGATATTTCATTGCAAAAGCATTGCTTTCATTTTTGTAAGTTTTAAAATTACACGCTTTCGTTTTTTCGCAAGACTTGTTGACATAATAAATACCGTCGGAACCTCATTATTTTTAAATATAAGAAACAAGACGTGGTAAGCGTTAAGATACAATTGCCTTCTTTTCATCCCCGTTCATCTTTGCGGAAATGGAAATACATTATCAATAATTTTTGTGACTTAATATGAAATCAAATCTCAAATCTTAGCCATCATCCACTTCGCATTATTCAAAGCGATAAAAATAACCACTTAGTAAGCGACGGCGGTTTTTAAACACGTGTGTTATGTCACTCACGCGTCTATTTCATCGTCTTGCCAGCTCATCATAATTGCAATAAAATATAGATAAAATACTATGTTATACAAAGTAATTGATCCCACACCCACATTGCGGGTGTCCAGGCCGACACTGATGTCTCCTTCGGAGCACACTTGGTCTAGACGTAAGCACGGTGAGCGGTTGCACGCTGTGATCAGCTTTGATAAGCGTTTAGTATTAATCGCGTCGACCAAAATTCGTAATCATCAAAATCACAAAAATCTGTAACAAGAACGTTAGGCCGTTAAGCGTCCCCTTCGTTCGTGACAATAACTCACTCGCATACCTATAATGTACAGATTCTGACAACGGGATCCTTTTTGTTTGATATATTAAGATTGAATTAGATGCGTCCTCAGTTTTTAATCATATAAAAATAAAATGTATAAAATAAAATAAAAAGTACGAAGTAAGAATAAATCGAGATGGAATTAAATAAAACAATAAAAGAATATTTATGTTCTTTATTAAATTTTTGTCACAAACTACAGAACTGCGACTCTAGGATTTCGTTGAATTAAAATGCTCTCGAGTCAAAATATAAATAAAAATCTATCATTACATTAAATAAAATTTTATCTCGATATATCGGTACATTAAAAATTTTAAAAATCTAAATTCATATACAAATACCCTCGGTCGGTATTTCAAAAGGTGACTTAATTAGTTTGAACAATATTTTGAGGAGGAGGTAACTTACAAAAGTAGATTTAACAAGTCACACCTTGATATACGCACCATACCATGAAACTAGGATGAGAAAAAAACCAAAGCGTTTTAATGGAAAAACATGATGTTTATCACAACATTGTGGATTCTGGGATCCTTAGTAGTTTCACTATCAAATATACACCATAGTTATAAGATTAGCATTTATAAAAAGCTAAAGGTTATTTGTAGAAAGCCGATAACATCAAAAGCCTGGTTTTATAGTATATCTATGAACTGTTCTAGAGAGATAACCTAAATGTGTGACATATGAAATATCTGAAGTTATAGAACCTAGTGCTTTATGAATTATTTAAATCTTAACCTCCGTTCACGCGGAACACAACTTCTCATAGAACAGATGTACATAACTTACATGTACTGGCTACATTAAAATGTAATCCAACCATTTTCCTTAAAGTCACGCATATTGAAATTATTAGTTTTCAAATACTCTGCGAGATATCAGACTTTATGCAGAGAAGTATGTGTAGCGTTAACGGAATGTAAACTTACATATTATATTACAATTCATTAAAATGATAAAAATTAATACGACTCCATTAACACACTAGAATAAGAATTAATAACCATACATTCATGAACAAAAGTTGTGATTTCATTTGGACCATAGACTATATAATAGCTAGTTATGGACCTGCCATACTCTAGCCTGATGGTACGAGGCAATAACTTCACAAGATCTGTTAGTCTCAAACACTCCATTATCATAGAATTCTGTCCTTCAGGTCTTTGTTAATGTGTAGTCAAATTTCGACATTCGTACAAATTCATAAGATGGCTTATATGGGTATTGAAAAGCACCGAGACCATTTAAAATATTATCCTTAAAACATCTGCATTAAAATAAATAGAACAGAAAATTAGCAGGTTAAAGAAATATACAATGTCATTCTTCATTAACTCAATTACTATCTTATTGTAATATTCTTTTTATTACGAAAAAATTAAAAAACCTTAAGAATAACTACACAGTCACAAAGAATACGTAGACAGTGCAAGGGCAGCGACAGAGTTTAGCTTAAAAGGGTAATCCTTCCGATATGTTTACACAGATTAATCTGACTCCAATATATGAAAGACGGTGTGGACAACATAAAGTAACGGACTTAGTCTCTAGGTGTCACATGAATATTAGGTCCCGATTATTTGTGTAAATATATTTGAAAGTTTGAATGCTTGCGTGCGTCTTCATGGGATCCAACCCACTACATAGCTACGGCTGCGAGTGCATCGGGTCAAGCGAAGAAGTCTCCCACCTGAAAAGTAAAATTTGTCCATCAGAGCTAAATTAATATGATAAGACACTTCCTACCTTGTAATAGGGCTTGAGAATATAAATTATTTAATTTACAAGTATCTCCTGGTGATGCCGTCCGCTCGTTATAACGAGCATAAAAATTATCTAAAGTTTTGAAAATAAAATTTCCGCGGGTAAGTGTCATTTTCTGCAGATACGCAATTAATATATAATTCTTTAACTAGAAACTTGTAGGAGATGTGTAATAGTGTTTAAATTTTTTTATGAAAAAATATACATTGTAGTATTGTGGAGCTAGAATTAATACATTCCAAGATGCATGCCTAAAAATTTACATTCAAGTATGCATATCACGCATATCTAATATGCTATGCTAAATCAAACACAGTTGAACTTAAAAAAAAAAACATCACAGTGGCACATTCAAAAGAACATTTAAATTATTTTATCGTAATTAATTGAATTTTTCGCATTTAATTTACTAAACCTATTTATATTTGATAGATTTTATTTTTATAAAAAATCAAATTCGTGAAAAATATTGTCGAGATATTTTAACGTTCTTGGTTTTGTTTTCTTAAGATACATCACAATGCCTTCGACCTATTAGAATCAAAAAAACTTCAACTTCAATTTGTTCTGAGAATTTTTTAACTTTTAAATAACGTAAAAACAAATTAATAACCTATGATATCCACTCATTTAATCAAAATATTTGGACTCGTGTACTAAGAAGAATTTTAAGTTTACTAAAACGGTGTATAGTTTACGCGAGTAGTACACATTTAAATAATATACTATAACGGTTTAAAACGCGATATATTAGTTAAACTTATTTGAAAATGATTTTTAACGAAACGTCGGGCCGAAGTTAAAAATCGTTTTCAAATAAGTTTAACTAATATATCTCGTTTTAAACCGTTATAGTGTTTTATTTAAATTTACCAAAACGTACTAAATTGTACTTGTACCGATTAATTTAAAGTACTCTTACTCTTTACTTACCACAACCGTCGTTGTTTCCTCTAAGCACTATTCTGGCTCCGTCGCTGCTGGCGTACTGCAAAACATACACACACACATTGTAAGGGCTTTATATACAGATAGTCACGCTACCGACTGTCACATTTTCTAATCAATAAGTGACAATCGTCAGCGCAAAGGAACCAAACAGAAAAATCATTGCACATTTGTGAAAATGACAGTTTTCAATCGTCATGCTCCTTCAATATAAGTTCACACAGCCATTCCATTAGTGGACACACTCATGCGTGAGATTAGATTTTAGTTATACTAAAATATAACGACTAATTTACCCTCCTACACCTAACTTCTGGCTTGGGCCAAAAATAGTTATATTACCCGAATCGGCGTAGACTTTTTTATTCCCCGTCTCGACTAGAAATTAAATTGATGTTCGTTAATAACAAACTGAATAGTAAAATATGACTACAAAGATATTATTTATGAAAAAATATTATAAATGTAAACAAACTTGTTTAATTTATCAAAAATGCGACGTTAGGTATATTTAGCGTGAGAGATATAATTATGCAGATTTACACATTTCAAGGCCGTGTTACCCGGGCTTGTAAAACTGAAGACTTTTTTGTAATTAGTGAGAATCAAATACACTGTAAAAAAAGCTTTAATTGAAGCGAAGAATGTTAATGGCTGCCGTGCCAACATCGAGTCCCGCGAGGGCCTGACCTTAAACGATTCTATTGGCTACGCGCGCCTTTTTGCAGGTTGTTAAAGAACCTGAACTGGAGTCGTAGCGTTAGGTCTTTCCGTACTGCAATGGAATAAAACACTGTGACTATGAACACGTATAATACATGGCGATCATTGGGCGTACAATTCTGCTATTTCGGTGACCTCTGGCGGTCCGGGGTTAGCAGAATTTGAGTCCCAGATCGTATCTAGGTTAATGTGATTGACATCCGCAGTACCAAACACCAGTGCGTTTTATTGACCGTTTCCACGATCACACAGAAGGGGATGCGCGGCCTCGCCGACTTACGAGAACGGGTTGGGGTTAAAGTCTGGCAACTGCGTCGACGACGGGTTCAATCCGTTCTCTCTCTTTTCCTGTATCTCGTCGGCGGGTATTAAAATGGTGTTTTCGACGCTTTCATTGATGACCGGTTTCTCTATTACCGACTCTTTGGTGGGCGTGGGGGTCTCGGCGCTAGGTGGCGTTAGGTTGAAGAGGTTAGGGTCGATACCGACGGCGGGCGGGCGGCCGCGTGGCAACCGCAGCCGCAGGGACACGCTAGTGCGCTTTTGTACTCGGCAATCTGATAATATCGATAACAATTATCGATTCACACTCGATTGCAAGCATGCGCTGGGGAAGTTTGGGGTTATTCATGTCCAAAATGTGTCTCCTGTTGTTGCATAGATGGTGTTTGAATATGCGTATGCGCATCTATTTGAAAATAGAAACATGCATCGGTCTGTATGGGTTCTAAAATGTTTCCGAGTGTTATTTATGTACGGTTGAGTAGAACAGTGGTTACTGAGAGGATTTTCGCCTATTGCGTTTTATGGTAGTGCAGTCTAATATCTATGTTGATAAAGAGAAATAAATGTTCAGTTACGTGTGTATGATCTTGAGCGCGGGCCGTTCGAATCTCCATCTGCATCGCAATGTGGATTCAATTATTGCTTTGATTTAAACGAAATGATAAAAATGAACCATGAATTTGATTTTGTGCATGTTGAGAAACAGCTGTGAATATACGGGTAAAAATATATTACGTCAACATTGTCAATAATCATCCAAAATATCAATTCAATCGAATCAAATATTGGCAGAAACTAAACGCATTTTAATCTTGAGCCGTCACCTTTCTGCTGGAGTGGAAACTCTACTATAGATACATTTAAAAAACGATCAATCAATGGGCCATCTTATAATAATCACCAAAAATAAAATAAAAACTGACGATTAACTGATTAATTGACGATCTAAGATTTTACATAAAGGAAACTGTGTATATAACAAACTTTTAACGTAACGTTTTTTGTAACCGGATACGACACCCAAGTATTATTTTAGTAGCTATTGAAAAATAGCCCTATGTAAAAAGGTTAAATGTATACTGACTTCTGTCGATGTTCCTCTGCAGGTGGCTGGCTACGCGATGGCGTGCGTCACTGTACTCGAGATGCAGACCCAGCCGTAGTAGTGTTGGGTTCGCCTCTACCAACTTTGTGATTTCCATCTCGATTTTATTGCCGAGGACCTGCGACCGCTGTAAATAGAAGTATTTATAAAAAAGCATGCTTAAAATGCATTTAACAAACATTGGAAGACACACGAAGCTGTCAAAATTGGTTTGCGTTAAAAAAATATAACAGAAGCCAAAAAAAAATCTATACATAATTAGCCCTATAGAGTTACATACTCTTGCAATAGAGAGGATTGATTACAACTGATCAGAATTTCGCAAAGCTAAACTTAATATCGTCAGACATTAATAATTAAGTTGATATAATTATTATACTCGGATAAAATCTGTGGTTTGTTTAAATTCAAATACTTTAATGGTTTAAAACCGCGTAACATATAAGTGCAGTGCAAAGCATCCGAAAGGTCGGGCCGTAGTTAAAATAATTTGTAAATAAGTGTAATATATTTCGCGTTTTAAACCTTTAAAGTATTTTATTTAAACATATACAACTCGACTAAACTAAACTACAGACAGTATCTTTGGTATGGTTGAGATAAAGTAAGCTGTATCCAATAGTTTGATTTCGTCTTTAGTCTCCTAATCAAAAAATTTATTGAAATGTAAGTCATCCATAAATAACATTACACATATAAACATAGATAAATAGACTTACCTGGTTAGAAGCACGGAACTCTTCAACGGTGGTAGTCGTCAGCAACGATTTGACTAATTGGACGACGCCGGGGGGACTAATGAAGTTTGTCTCGACGTTGACGACTCGCAGTGTCGTATTTTGTTCTAGCGCGTCCGCAAGCAGCTGCGCCGTGCGGTCGTTGAGACCCACGTTCACGAGGGACAGCACCTCAAGATGTGTGTTCGTCTTTAGCGCCTCGAATAGCTTTTCGAATTTCTCGTCACTTATGTTCTACAGAAATGTAAGTATACAATATGGTTTGATTAATTTAACGCAACTTAAACTAGGAAAGCCTAAAGGAAAAAAGAGTTAATAGACTAAATTAAAATCGTTTACAGCCTCAGCTGATCTATCGGTTAAATAAACTAGAGACAATACGATACCTTAATATTGTTCCAATTGAGATCTGTTAATTTCTGGTCATTTTCCTGCACCCTTTTTATAGTGTCATCAGGATCTGTGTCATTAGGCGGGTCCATGGGAAATACCTGAAACATCGAGGTACAGTTTTTTTACTGTAAAACCTAAGCAAGTGTTTCTCCCTGTGATAAAATTGGCATAAAATTGTCTGGAAAGTTAACTTAAGTCAAATGTTAGTCTGAAAACACCTGTATACATTAGAATATTGATTATACCTTAGGTTTTGTAGCTTTTGTGATGCCATCCCATCCAAGACCTACAGGCTGCCCCTTGTTGAGGAGTGAGGCGTGATACTGGTCCTGGTTCATCATTGAGTGGAAACCAAGAATAGCTATAAAACAATATAACTTCTTTTAAATCAAAACTTTAAAACGAAAAAATAAAGGCTGTAAAATTCTGCATAATTATAAAAAGAAGAAATACAAATCATTTGAACATTATATCTTACACAAATTATGTAACAATTATATGAACAGCAAAGATGTCAGTGAAGTGTGAAGTGAAAACTCAAACAAAAAATGTTTTGTAAGTCAATTGCTAATGACAAATAGAATACTAGAGACATTATATGGAGTCACCCATGATACATAACTCTCTACAATTTCTAAAGGGTTTATTTACCCTATTAGAAATAAAAGTAAATTAAACCTACTAAACTCAATACTTATGTCAAACTAAAAGAGCATTGTCCAGACTATCTCCACCGATTTAACCCCCTTTTAGACATACTTTTGGAATGGTATCCTACCCTTTGATAGGAGGTTTATCCTATAATAGTATAATATAAAACATACCCCAATTTGAATGTAAATTACAATGTTGAATTTACATTTAAAAGTACTTGATGATATCATAACAACCGATAAACCTGAAAAGCGTTAATTAACGTCTCACCTACAAATATCCTAATGGCAATGGAATTATCAAAATGACTCACCGGCAAGGTCAATAATTTCCTCTTGCGAGGCAGTTGTTAGGGCCTGCTCATATTCATCTCCAAGATCTATTGTAATTTGTTCATCAGCATCACGCACTTTTTCTGGAGGAGGTGGAGGAATCCACTAAAACGAAGCAAGAGAAATAAAGATTTGTTATTGTTTTTATATCAAAATATAAGTGTCTATAGTTAATTTATCCTTAGTAATACCAAACAAGGTTTTATGTGCATTTAAAATATATATATATATATATACAAAGAATTTACAATAAAAATATTTCTTAATTTTTTACAAATAGATTTAGGTTAATTATATAAAATATAAATGCAGTAACACAACAAGATACAACATAAGAAGATATTACAACGAGATATTGCCTAACTTAATAATTATGAAAATTTTCCTTGTCTGAAATTTTATAAATGGACTTTACCTTTTTCCCTCTAATGACACCAGCAACATATGGTTTCACCTCTGGTCTGTCTGGCGTTTCCAGTGCCTGCTTATTTATGTGTTCAATCAATTTCTTTCGGTTTAGTGGGCCTGTGGGATCCTTTTCACATGCGTAATTTGTTCTTTGTGAGGGTGGTAAAAATGTATCCTGAAACACAACAGATAATTTTGTCCCAGGATTCAAACTAATTAATGACTCAATGCAATAATAAACATATAAGGTAACAATATCCTTTCTTTGTAGGAATTGCGTTGCTCACTTTATAAATACCTTATAAGATTATCTCAAATGACATAATTAATTTTTTAAAGTAGCACTTACATTATCTAAATAAACTCAATAAAAATTATCAGCTTATAAAACAAATTACATGTGATAACACAGAAAATGTCTTATAACTAAAATTTTCCTAGTATGTTTGATATATCTTCATTAAAACCATTAAAGCTATGTAAATTGAATGCTTACAAAATTTCTATTGACATTAGACTATTCAACTTATAACATAACAGTCGAACCAATACTGTTTTGCATGTTTAGATTTTGTCAAAGCATATATTTACATTGAGAGAATAACCTAAAAGTATGAACAGATTAAAAAAATAACAAGAGCTAAGGACATACTGCTAATATTAAGATAACTTACGTCGGGGTCTACTTCTTTTGCCAGCATTGTCAACTCTTCTTGTGACAACTTGGCCAAGAGTTCGTCGACATCGATTTCATCGTATGTTGACAACTCTCTGCCGTATAACTTAGCCGGGGTCGTCATTGTGGTCGTCTTCGTCGTAGACGACTTCTGCAAGCACAAATAACACAACTCTTACACAAAAGCTCCAAACATTACATAATAATGAGTCTTTTTACGGTAAATAAACACGACAATCACACCACACCCATAATAATCGATAACGGGAACGTTTGTATGAAAAAGGATTTGTCACTAGTGAAAATATACGCTTATTATTACTTAACACACAATAATACACTTACAAGTAGTGTAATGTATTTTTAAGCGTTGAACAATAATCTATAACAGGTTTCTATTAGCGCCACGAGCACCGTCACACCTAAGTGAATGACAAATGAAGACTAGCGGAGTTGCTGGAAAACCGTTTACCGAAAAGGCAAAATGCACTGTTAGAGTGAGTACAACTTACCACTAAGCTACTTGTGTAAAAGAGACATATAGCGAATAGAGAAGGGCAAAGATTTAAAGACGTGAACTTGTCGCATTAAACTGCTCGAAAAGGTTTTATTAAAAATTTTATTACCGGTTTCTTATCAAACAGTATCGCTTGTTGCAGCGTCTTGCTACATTGTTTTATGTCGAAGAACACCTTAGCTTATCTTTTGCATTGGTAAATAATTATCTAATAAGGAGTAGCATTGTTATGTGTATGCAAAAAAGTAACTTAAAATTCTGAGTTGAGACTCATATTCTGATATTCTGAGGACCTAATGTTATGCGCTAACGACTGAACTAGGTATTCCGGATGAAACTGGATTCATTCTAGATTTGGTACCTAGTATATAAAAATGTAATACTATAAGAAACGTATGTAAATTGATTACTCCATACCTAGTTAAGGAATGTTAGGAGGTCATGGCATTTGAGTGACAAAATGTAGCGAAAATTATCTATTAACCACAATGGATGGTTGCGTAATATTCTATTTCATGCTCCGCCTGTCTAATGACTTGTTGCTATTGAACTCCCGTCACGAAGTCACGACCTTCCTTATTATTCAACTAGTTTATCTGACTACCAAACTACATCAGCACACGTTTCCATGCAGTGTTATTGCATAGGTATAAATGCGTTACATTTTTTATTTGTCTTCTTTTTTTCTAACAATTAATTTATAATATTCAATAAGTTATAGGTATATTCCTAATCGTATTGTAGTGGGCAATTAATCCCGGAATTGGTAATTGATTAATTGTGTAGTGATTGATTCGCTAAAAGTGTGTCTCTAATATATAAATATTGAAGTTGCTAGGCAGTGCTGGCTGTTCGCCAGTCCGCTAAAATTGGTGGTCGCTATATCAGAGATAAACGGTATTCTTAGTTGCAAATTGCAATCGTCCACTGGCCTCACGATTAATAAAAAATATTTGAAGTTATGAAACGAAAATAGTATTTAAAATAATTCATAAAATACTAATATTTTAGTAATAGAAAGTATTTAGGTGCTAGTAACGATTTAGAAAAAAAACACTTACATAACGATTAAATTAAATTAAGTTCTACGTAACGATTAAATTAAATTTTTAATCTGTGCCTATCTAGTGACCTACGTCAAGTTCCTTATTTTTTTATCGTATTCTATTTCTATGGTAAATAAAAGAAAACGAATTAATGACAGTATAAAAATACGCATTATTTAATGTGTTCAAGATAAATCAAAGAAATTTGCACATTATCACTGAAATTAAAATATTTTTGTCCTCATATGTCGCTACCTTACGGACCACCAGTGAAAGTTTCCCCTTTCATAAGAGCTGCAAGGTATGCACTATTAGTTGCCGGCATTTTTTATGGCATCAGTAAACAAATGTTATATAATTCCTTGGAAGCGTCATGGCGTCGAGAAGAAGCAGAACGACAGAAGAAACGGGACATAGAAAACGCAAAATTAAGAGCGAAAATTGCCGCCGAAGAACGAGAGGTGGTGCGTCAAATGGAGAGCGGTGAACTTTTTAAGCCTGGAAGAATTTAGCTTACTACATATAACTGACGAGACTGTATTAAAGAAATATTTGGTATTACAATTTGGTGCATCCCAACTAAATCGATTGTAATCTTGAATTACATAGGTATTAAAAGAATTATTTAAACCAAGGTATATTAATAATTAATAGTATTATTATGAGTAAGGAATTATTCTTTTTAACCAAAACAAGTCCTAGGAATTACATTTATAACAGGATTTGGCGTCTGTAAGTCCCTTGAGTAGTGAATGATTACATATTTAGTTTACAAGTAAGAAAGTGAAGAAATTAACAAACAAACAGTAACTTTGACTTCACTTTTCATTGTACTTACTACTTGGCAAATACAAGTGTGGGTATTAAATAGTTTAGAAAAAAAAATGGTATGCTCGGCAATAAAAATGTTATTATTTCTTTGGTATTTTCCAGGAAATCACTTCCTTCCATTCAATCCCATTTGGCATTTTGTATTTATAAGAAGGACTTTAAGGAACCTATATTAACCCATTAAATGGCTCAGATGCGTGATAAGACCTTGTTTGGTCTTAAAGACTGCAATGGAAGGGCTTATCTCTTATTGCATGGCTCAAAACTTTGAGCCATGCTTACAGGTCCGAGTAAGAGTGATATTAAATCCTATGAACATATACACACAATATGAGAACAGGCTGACCCGTATTTATTCAACCATGTTATGAGTAAGGTTGGTAACGTTGTTGCTACGCTGCTTGTGAATTCACATGGTTTCATCGTATTTTATCGACTTTCTCTCACGTTACCATTGATGGTAACTGATACCCGTCAAGCGAGCTCATTTGCCGTTTACCGCCAATACAGCTCTATTAGGCATATATTATTAATAGTGTAGTTATATTAAAAATAACATACATAGACTGACAAAATCATAATCTTAATCACCCTTCTGTTGGTGACGACGGTTTTTACCCGTGGAATAAAAATCTACACCGCGAGCAATCATTTTGGTAAATGCTACCTATAAAGTTTGTCTAGAACGAATAACAGTTACTACAACTTAAGTAAAAATATTGAAAGGAAAGCTCATGCTTCAATAGCTATACCGCATAAATAAATACAAAACATGAACAGGTCATAAATCTAACTGTAAGTATCTTAAGTAATCGCGAAGTTTGGTAAAAATACAAAATTGCCAAACTGTGTTTAAAAAACAATAATGTTTTACTTTTTAATCGACAACGACAAATCCGAGGCAGAGAGAATGAATTTTTTGACCGTTTTTGTCTCCACCTAGCGGTTTACCCGCAATAAAGCGTTTATTAAAATGTTCTTGCTTTCTATGATGTAGGGGATTTAATCCTACATCTCAAGCAGAAACATAAGAAAGATAATATTTATGGGGTATTTAGGGGAGGGGATGATATTTAGGTCTACACCAAATTCTGTAGTTAGCTAGTATATATGCAGAGCCCTCATTTTTTTATTTTTTAATCATTATTGACAAAATTCTAGCGTAAATTCTTAAGCTATATTAGAAGTACACATATTGGGCTGAAGAATGTAGGTGTGTTGAACATTACTAAGAAAATTTGCTATTAAAATTCTAGACCAACACATTTTAAGTTTACACACACATCAAAGTAAGCGAAAAACATTAATATACATTTAAGTGTTCTACGTAATTACTGACATTATGTAAGTTATTTAAATAGTCGTCTACAAATTTGCATTAGTACTATTATAATATTTTATAATTATTATAATAAACAGAAAAACAACTACAACTCCGAGAATACTATTAAGTAATATATGATGAAATTAACTATGTAATAATAATAAACATTACTTTTATTGCGTTACGGTTTGTAACTATTTTTCTAAGCAACAGTACAACTTGAATGCAACCAAGTGTTTAAATCCGAAAAAATCTACGTGGCCGGTGCCGGCGACAACTTTCATGCAAGGCAGTTATATCTGGACTTCAGTGCCATGCTTGACCGAAACTTTTTATTATATTCCCTCGGGATTGGCACCCTGGACGTCAGGTACATAGTGTAATAGCTAGTAAAACCACTGATAGAAGTTAGATTATTTATTTTCATTGCGTAACTAATTCAAGTAGGTATTGAAACGCAGTTTCGTTTTTACATTATTGCACAGTTCACCTATATAGAAAATAGCGTAAAATTAGATTTTTACACGCAAACGGTTATCGGAACTAGTTTTTGCCAAACTTTCCTAAAAAGCTAAAGTGGAACAGATAGCAGGTTTTAATTCCTAGTTCGTGCGTTTAATTTAGGTTTAAATTGTTAAATCTTGCTTAACGCCAATAAATTATGTAAACACACAAGGCAACAAAAATTTTTTAGTAACGAAATAATAAAGAATATTTAGCACTAATTATTATTAGCTATACCAGTACAATATAAATACAATACCTAATACCCTTTTCAATGCTATTTAGTCAATATTCATCTGATTGGGTTTTTTGAATAGATAACGTGTTACTATTCTATCCATGACAAGAGTGTAATGCAGTTACAAATCGATTCGATTCACCTCTCAGATTTTATTGTTTGTTTCACGTTAGATTTTCTAATAGCCGTTTATCTGGTAATAATGATTACATGAGATTTAAGGAGATCCATATTTTAATCATCTTCGCAGTTTAATTGTTAAATGCATGGCATCCAGAGTAAGCAAAGCCCTGGGTTTAAAATTCCGGGAAACATAAAAAAATATATATTAATCTATATCTATAGTAACATATAAAGCTGAAGAGTTTGTTTGTTTCAACGAAAAATTATTTTTGTGTTGGGTAGAACATTTATTGAGGAATGCTATAGGCTTTAAAACATCGCGTGTGACTAACATAACAAAAAAAAAAAAAAAAAAAAAAAAAAAAAAAAGGAAAAAAAAAACAGCGGGGGGCGTACGCTGCAATACGGTTCAGATACCCAAAAAATATGTAGGAAAGAATCCTTCAATGATCTAAAAAAAGTCCGCGACGCTATATGTCTATCTTTTAATATTAACTTGCAAAAACGACGGGAAGGGTCAAGGACGCGACCGACGTCGTGGGTAACAACTTAAGTTTATAAAGTTGAAGGGGTTTGCAAAAACGAATTTGGATGTCCAAAATAACTATTCTACTGGACGAAGTCGCTGACAAGCTAGTATTATATACCTAAGTATATTTTTAAATTAAGAAATCAACCAAACACTTAAATTGAAATGGGCCCAATTTTTATAAATGTCTATTACTATTATATTTTGTCGTCGACTTAAAACTTTAAAATATGATAGTACCTATGAAGATATCAAAAGATAAATTCTTGTCTTTGATTTAGACTTTTATTGTTTTAAATTATGGGTCTGTTGAGACTTGCGGGCAGCTAGGAAATGAGTAAAATATTATTAATGATTCCCGTGGGTGGATGCTGACCTTGCAATAGTAGAGGAATGCCCATTTCACACAATCAATTTGAGAATGTTGCTCAAATGGTATGTGAACCTTACTACTGTTCGTAATGTCAGTTCCACCAACCTAAGGAACTAATATCTTTATGTGAAGTACAATATTCTTTCCCTTGACGGGCTCGTTGGTCGTGGGTTCGATCTCCACCGGGTCCGACATGTTTCTAATTTTACAATTCATACTTTTTCTGAAACATGGACTTCGTCTGGATGTGTAAATATTAAATGGGTAATAGGAATATCGAATTATCGAACCCCGAGTTTAATGCGTTTTAGTTTCATTCATTGGATTTCCGAATCATCGCAGCCAAAATAGGTCAAAAGCGCATATTGTGCAGGTGTTATATGGCTAGGATATTTCACCCCCCATTAAGTGACCCCCATGCTTGTTGGTCAACCTCTATAATTAAAAATACCCCTTCTTCATCTTCTTCTTTCTTTTCGTCTTAGAATTTCGGTCAGGAGGCCTAACGCGATTTAATATTTTCTACCCATAACGCGAACAACGACACCAAAGAAGTTTCCACTTATAAATAAAACACTTTAACGGTTTAAAACGCGATATATTAGTTAAACTTGTTTGAAAATGATTTTTAAATCGTTAAACTTATTTGAAAATGATTTTTAACTTCGGCCCGACGTTTCGGATGCTTTGCTGCAGCCGTGGTCACGAGGAGACACGTGACCACGGCTTCTGCAAAGCATCTTTTTCAAATAAGTTTAACTAATATATCGCGTTTTAAACCGTTAAAGTGTTTTATTTAAATTTTTAATGTGTACTACTCGCGTAAACTATAGATAGTATTTAAGTTTTCCCTTTTTAAATATCTCTAAAGTAAAATAACTGAGCATCTGCTTCATGAATTTGAAAACTTTGTCAATATATATTTACTGCACAAGAGCCATTACATTTAATAAAGTTAAGCTGTTATTAATTTTATCGTCGTATTGGCGTCATGTGTGAACCCGAATCGTGTTTACGAACACTTTTGGTACATTACACCGTTAATGTTGATTTTCTGGAGCAGAATTAGCCGGGATTACTGGAGCGACTCACTCATTTTACTTGACGTAATATAACAGGATATATTGGGTGGGTTTCAGTATGCCACCTTGGTATAATTTTTACCTGGCTTAATACGTTTCGTGTTTTCATATATGCTTATTAACTATATTAAATGTACAACAATTTTACAAATACATAAGGATTTTATAATAAATATATAAATAATGATACCAAGTTGTGATAGTTGTTCGTGCATTTTTTTAAATTCATTGCAAGTAAAATAGCTTAAGCCAATAATCTATTATATTATAGTTGTAAGATGTTAGTGTATACTTATAAAATAAATACTTCTACAAGAACCCTAATAAATAGCTAATAATATCTCATAAATATCCCGTGATAGTCTGTTACAAGAAAATCCTTGCAAAAACAAAAACAAAAGAATAAACGAATTAGGTTAACCTCTTGACGCGCTATATTAATTAATCTAGCGCCAGACTTATTTAGCTAACCTTTGAATTATGTCTATTAATAGAGCACACTTTTTAT